GGTTTCATTCTCTAGAGTGCCTGTTGAACCAGCTAGAGGGAGATGGACTGTCAGTGCTCCTCAGGAGCATGCATCTCTTACTCCGCTGTCCACAGTAGGACTTGGTGGGACATCAGGGTCCTCTCTCCTACCTTTGAGCTCTGTTATGCTGGAGAGTCCAACTGACAATCCTGGCACTTCATGAGGTGCCTTTCCCAAGCCTTTAACCATTAGGCTAATCATGCTCGTTTTTGGTTTTCTGACTCAAGGGGGTTCCAACCCTGGTTCCTTGATGTGGGGTTCAGTGTTCTCAGAGTGGTGGGAATCCACATCTATACCATGTTCTTGCAATTCCTTCATGATGCAAGATGAAAGCAGTGTATTGTTACAAGTACCTACAGGTATAACATAAGCATGAGTATTCATAATGTGAGGTGCACCATGATAAGTCTTAGCCAGCAAAGTAGAATTGCTTATTTCTATGCCAGCATCTCTTTTACCTCCTTGACTCCTGTTGAGTCTGCAAGGTCCTCCTCTTCCATCTCAGCCAGGATAGCTCTGAGGTGAGTCATGAGGGGTCGTGTCGATGGTTTTCTCAGCTTGATTAACTATTTTGACTTGTCAGATGGGCACTTGTTGTCCCATCCCAGGTGTCCAATGAGTCTGCACTGGAAGCATCGCCTCTCTTTCTTGAGATGGTTGATGTCCATGGGCTCTCCTTCACCACTGTATGTGGTTCTGGTGAGGTCCTGTTTATCGCTCCTCGAACTAGTTGAGGAGCCCCCTGCAGCTCCAGGCCTGAAGCCTGCAGTACCACTGGGATACCTGCCACCTTGTGCAACATGAACTTGATAGTTCTCATCCATGTGGCTGACTCTGTCCTTCCACTCCCAGTAGGTGGTAGGGCATCAATTATCTCCAGCCATAATGATCTGTTTGACATTAGGCCGGACTGTGAGGGCAATGACTTCCTCCATTTCCTCGTTATTGTGGAAGTGCTCAGCTTCCATGGCTATTTCTTCAAATTTCTCGAAGAACTTCATGGCCATCTTAAACTGCAGCTGCTGCAGTTTCTTCCATTGGACACATTTAATCTGGACTTCCACTACTTCTTGGAAGCATCCTTGGACTTCTTCCTTGAATGCTGCCCAAGTGGATACTTGATGTCTCTGGTTGTGCTTGTCCCAGTAGTGGCACTGCTGATGAACCCACCATTGTTTCACATTTCCTCCAAATAGGGAGGATGCAAAGGTCACCTGGTTGGGACCATATCCTCATGCAGCATTGAATGCAAAATACTTGGGATACATCTCAAAGTAGTATTTGCAATCTGTGGAGAATCACATAATGTTGCTGGCTCCTCTGGTGAACTTGGCAGGGAGCTGTGCCAGAACAGGTTTCACATCACCCCAGGGGTTTGGTTGTCTGTCAGCAATCTCCCAGCCTCCCAGCAGATCAGGCAGCAATGGGGGATTGGTGCCACAAGAGAGTGATTGTAGTCTTGGATCACTGCAAGACAAAGGTGGTGCAGCAGGAGGATTGGCTGATGGTCCTCCACTGCCTCCTCCTCCTCTGCCTGGTCCTCTGCCTCTATCTCCTGATGGTGCTGGCCCACCTGGTGCAGGTTTTGAGGGCACTGACTGCTTCCTTGTCCCTGAGTTCCTTGTGAACTTCACAGGTGGTAGTCCAAGCCCTTTCCTCCTCTGAGGAGTTTGGATGGTACCCATTGCATGTCCTGGATAGGGTTTATCAGTCCTGCACCTATGAGTGATTCCCTGTCTGAGGATTCTATTCCTGCTATGAGGTACTGTTTTTCTATCAGCATTCTTCATTCGGGATGTAGCCTGTTCCAATATAACACAGCATGATACCCTGTTTCAATGGCTCGGATTCTCTCTTCAAGGTCCAAGCCTGCAATTGCCCTGCAAAAGGCTTTGCCTTGTGGGGACATGATCCAGGTCACCTCATATGGTAGGCACCTCCATGTTCAATCTACCATCTGTCTCTACAACAGATTATAGATTTCTTTGTCTGTTAGCTCCTGTGCTGGAGCCCTGGATAAACTCATCTCCGTCGATGTGGCCTCCCCTGCCATAGTCAGGAGGAGCATTGATCTGCTGGTTGATGGCCATTCCAGCTCTTGACCAGAGATCTGTGTTTGTGTGGTCAGCAGAAAAGAGGGTCCAGTCTTTAGAGAAAATTGTGTCTCCATCAACTCAGATCTGGTTCCAATTCCATACATCCTGGAGATACTCTTGGTATGCTGCCCAGATTCTGATGCAGTTGGGATGCTCCCAGACCCAGGGCCATAGTTCTCTGAGAAGGATGAAACCTTCCTTGTATCCATTGGATAATCTGCCATTGTCTGGAATGAGGAGTGGCTTAAGTCCTGGAGAAGGGTAGACTGAGTCATACTCTGTTCAGGCCATATTCTGGAGTTGTCAGCAGATAGCACAGTTACAGTAGGTGTATGGGTGGTCTGACCAATCGAGCTCCTCCAGGATGTGGTTCAGAAGTAGGATTGGGTCCAGAAAGGGTAGTCTCCTGCAAACCACTCAAGAATTCTGTCTCCCTCAGGTCCGTCTCTGGGGGAGATAACCCACCCCCTAGGCTCAGTGGGTGATGGGGAGTTTGAGTGGGCATAGTACTCTGGGAGCTCTTCACTGTTTGAGGAGCCCTCCTCATCAGTGGTGTTGGATAGTTGGTCATGATGGCATCAGTATCTCCAACAATGGTTGACGAGTCATCGGCAGGCATAACAAAGTACTGGAGGTCAGCAATGGTGATGAGGAACCTGAGTAGGACTTCTGAGTCTGGCCAGGCTGGCTCTTGATGCTCGTCTGTCCAGCCAACTCCCTCAACCCACCCATTTTTGTCCCAGCTTGCAACTCTATCCTCTCCCCAACTCGAGCCCCAGCTAGGGATGGGCTCATCATCGCTCCTGTTTGAGCCCATGCAGACAGGGTCTCTAATTCTTAGGTATGGCGAAGGAATGCATGGGAGAGTGTCAATTCTCCAGGCATGTTGAGTCCCTCCTGGCAAGTACCAGGAGGTGGAAGTGTAGGAGTCAGAGATTGGGGAAGTTGGGGCTGTGTGCCAAATGAGCTCCTCCGATTCATCTCCTTGATGTTCTCCGGTGCTGCTCTCTCCAGGAATGCTTGGTACATCTTGTCCCAAGTCTTCTCCCCAGACAGGGAGGAATGGGTCCTTGGCCAGTTTGAAGGTGGTTCTTCACCTTTGTGCTGTATCTGTCACCCTCCAGTCTGTCATCTGGAGGGATTTGGAGTCATCTGAGGTCTTCTTCCTGAAGGGAAGTCCTGTCTTCACATTCTTTGCCATTTGGCTGATCCTCAACTGGATGCTTGAATGGGAGGGTGTGGTTTTCTCTGTCAGGTAGGGGTCTCGAAGTGCTGTTTGTCTGCAGGGCCCTGGTGTGATGGTGCTGAGCCTGATGGTGCTGCCTGTCTGTGATGTTCCTGTTGATGCACCATTGAGCCCACCTACTCTCCCTCTCATGGGGGTTGGTACTCTGCAGTGGTGTTGGCAGGGTCTGGTGAAATATACTGCTGCGTACACAGTTAACAGTATTAAGATACTGAAGGTACTTCTGAAGGTGATTGCAGCACAGTCTGAGAGGGTGAGGAGCATAGAGAACATTGTACCACAATGAATGTCTATGATCTTGAGGTACAGTAGGTGCTGTTTTATATATAATGGGCTGAAGTTTCTTTGGAAGTATGTCTGACAGTGATCTTGAGTCAGTACAGTTACCAGTGAATAGTCAGTGGTAAGGGTAGTAAGGGCAAGCTTCAGCTAAATATTACGCACTAACTCTAATCTGAACCACATGTTGTTCTCTCATACTGACACTCATGTTTGGTGATTCAGTATTGAGAGCAGTGTAGCAGATTGTAAGGGTTAGGGAGTAATTTAGGTAGCAAGAGCAAGAAGCTTGTAAAAGTTAGGAGTGTATAATCTTAGCCGAAGCTGGGGATTATAGCCACAGCTGAGGCTAGCTTGTTGGTCCTACTCTATTAATAGCCTATTGTCCATCTCCTGGTCAGAGAAGTACAGTCTCTAGCGAATGAACATGAAGGGCCCTAAAGGAAGTATGCCTTCAGTGAATAAGTGTAAAGAGGGTCTGTCACCCACATGGTTGCTTGAATGGGACTATTCAGGGAGTCAGTCACCTGCATGGTCATGGGACTTGGTCTGAATAGTCCTCATTCCATGGACCACCTTCGACTGGTGGTCTGCAGTCATTGAACCACTAAGGACTGTGATGCCATCATGAGAAGCATGATAGTGCATGAGAGTCACTGATCAGCTGGTGGTGTGGGCAGGTGATAGCATGTCAGAGGGGACATTGTAGACCTGGGAGATAAGATAGGGTTGAAGATGTTTCAGGAGATAAGGATAAGATAAGATAAAGAAAAATAGGGGTAAAGTCATAACAATAGTAATCATGCGATGTATTATTCCCAGATTCTCCTTGTTTATCTATCAATGTCTTTCATTTTGCCTTATGATAGACTTTTACCAATGTTTCACTGAATGCTTACTTATATGTCATTTATTTGTTGTCATCATATCAGCCACAAGAGTTGAAATGTGCTATTTCAGCATGCGACTATTTGGGCTCACAACCAATGTTGATCATGAGCCAATGTGGCTGCTCATCATGCTGTGTGAAACAAGTGCTCAGCATTGGAAATGGTACTCTGGGACAGTACTCCGAATTCATTGACATCAGGAGCACTGACACCATCACTACAAAAGGCCCCATTCTGCTTATCTTATCATCACAGAGTAACTCTTGTCTCCCTCCCTCACCTCTAACTACAACCACCACCACCCACCACCCACCAGTGCCTTTTCCACTAGATGAATCTTCACTGCTTTGTCATGTCAGTCATCTCTCTCTCCAAGGCTGTCTCCAACTCTTCCATCATCAAGTCTGCTGGCACAGATAAGGATGCCAGTGCACCACTCTCCTCATCCTTCCCTTCCTTGCTGACCTCAAGGACCAACAAGTGTATGAGCACAACTGCCAGCATGTCAAGAAGGCTGCAGATGTCATCAAGATGAGACAGCAGAAGTGGTCAGGTTCACCCTTCTTCAAGCTAGATAGGGGCACCATGTCAAAGAAGTACAAGAAACTCAAAGCAAACAACATCAACCTGCTGGATGGTGTCTTCATCAAGAGCATGCATTGGGATGATACCCCACCTTTGCCCAAGTTGCCTGAGATGAAGCTGTCAGATCTCATCATTCAGAAGCAAGATAGGAAGAAGGGTGGGTCCTAGGTCTGTTTCATTCTGGATGTATTGCATACTTATCACCTTGCATTTGACAGAGTCAGATTTCAAGGTCATCCCCCACATCCATTCTGTTATTGTCCTTGATGATTTTACTTCTAACCTTGCCACAGATGAGCCTTGGGAGCATATTTATGGTGAGAGCAATAGCAAATCTGGCAAACCGGTGAAGAGGCTCTGTGCAAGCCAAGCTCAAAATGCAATAGCATAGATACACTAAACACACCCACTCTCACACTCACACACACACAGAATCTCAGTAGTTCGGGGGAGATGTGCGATGCAAGCACATAATAACAATAGAATTAAAAGATGTCTTGCGCTCTTCAAGATATAATAGTGTGCTAGCTCAAAAGAATTCTCTAAGTCCAAATGCTTTTAGGACAGGAGGTGAGCGATATGTACTCAGCCTTGAGGCGAAAGTAATATTTCACAAGCCCACAAATGTCCCACAAGAACATACAACCCTCAATTGACGTTGCGCACAACACACAGGTGGCCACAACCCATCAAACAAATTACACACGACTTAAAGCTTTGCGCTCTAAGCAGAAAACACTTCAGAAACCTTTCGTATGGTGCAAGGTGCTTAGTCACCACCTCTGATAAGCAGTGGCCAAATTCCCGAAGGGAAATTTTTTGAAAACTTTTATGCTGATTTGCTGAAACTGGCAGTAGATTCAGTGAAAAATATACAGATGAGATACCCACACCAACGTCTGCCCAATTGAGGGAGAAGCCCATTCATCCAGAAAGCAAAATAATGCCTAATACAATGTTAAGTCAAATTTTGGGTCTAGCGGGGTCCCCGGCCTGTCCGGAGCATTGGAATCTCATCCGAGTTAGCATATTTAGGCCTAAAATCGGCCATTTTGCTGGACACACCTTGCTGGGAGCTTCCCGGAGCCTACTTAACAGAGCATCTAATGAGGCTATGGCCCGCTGATTGGTCGTGGCCAAATTGGATGTGGATGACATTCTGTATCCTTCTGTATCTCACGCTACATGTATTTTTATTGAAATTCCTCTTGCCAATTGTCTTATCTTATCAAAAGAATGTGTTTGGCAAGAGCAAAAAAAAATCGGTCAACCCCAAGTTTGGTGCCTGACTTTGCACATTAGAGGCGGTGACTAGGCACCTTGCACCATAGATCCACAGGGTTCAAACCTATGCAATCCAGAGACACAGAAACACAGGAACACGTCCACAAGCCACAGGGTTTGAACCTATGCTACTTGGGAATAAACCAAAAACCCTCAAAGAGTATTGACAAGCCAAAGGGTTTGAACCTCTGCCACTTGCAACAACTCAGAATTCACAAGCATGTTCCACAAACACAAATGCACATTCAAGTTATCACAATACAATATTTCTCCGAGTTGAGCACAATCAATTATTGTCCAGAATCAAGCTAAGTGTCGCGCATGAGCAAGGCATGCCTCATGACCTCTCAAGAGTTTCAAAATAATTCTAGATCCAATAATATTCTCTTGCTCGAAGCTACAAACACAATTCCTTTGGTTGCACACTAGGCTCTCTGCTTCGTGTCACAACTGTGGGGGTTCAAAAGCTTGCTACCTACTTCTAATTACCGCACTTTTATCTACAGCTAATTATATAAATAGAAATATCGAAAATAGATACGCTCTACCCTGGAGCCATTTCCTCTCCGTGATGCATGAACCGCATGGTCACTAATTAATATCCTGAGTCAGTCATCCGAGTTAGTGCTCGATAACACGCTGCTCTTTCTTCTTGGCAAGGTCTAGAGTTGCCACATCATGTGGAATATTTCTCCTAATTGGCCCCTTGTTTTTAATTCCTCTGTCGCGCACATCGCTAGTGAGTTGGTATTTATATTTGGTTGCTGCACAACCTTTTCTTAGTTTAATATTTCATTCTGGGTACAGGGTTTCTCTCGTGTTGGCTGAAGCCCTCTCAGGAGGCTCGGACTGGGTGGTCCTCAGTTCTGAATGACGTCTCTCAGTGATTGCTGGATTGGCAGGGTTCATGCATCATAGATCAATGTCACGTGAAGCTCCATAAATATATTATCTTTTCAGTGTATTTTATTTGAGCAAGATGCTGCTGAGGAATGCATAGGGTGTGAGTCAGGGCACTGAGACTCCACACTTAAATGACACCAGTGTGCCACTCTAAGTCTAAGCCATGCGCTCCACTCGGATTATTTTATTATATGCTGCTTCTGCCTCAACAGGTGTCACTCCATGCTGGGTATGCACTCTAATATTACTTAGTGGATTGACGCACGTTTGGATTCACAGGATTCGCAAAATTACACGTATGAACGTGAAGCGCGCGTGTCACCGGTTTCCAAGATGCTTTCCTATGCTTAGGTTCTTGTTTCCAATTAATTTATGCAATATACTATATAACCATATCCTCCCTTGTTATCTTGCCATTGCTACCCAATCAACTTAATTATATCTATAAGCCAGGACTAGATTGTAATCTACTTTATGCATGCCATCATTTATGCACTCCTTGGACCATTTGTGTTGCATGTATGATTATACATATTTTACTAGAGTCGATGTCATGATATCTATGAATTACATGAGCTTATGATATGTCTCTTAAGGTTAACATTGTGAAGGTATCAATGTAGAGTTAAAATCTTGAGTTTCAGAAAACAAACTTTCTTCAGTCCAAGTCAGGCTTGGTCTTACAGATGGATGATTTTATTTGTCTGTTTGTTATACTGGCAGTGTCTGATGTTAGTGACAACTATGAACATATCATAATGTGAGAATCTTTGGCTGAAGATGATCAACAATGCAGTCAGTATTCATGACAATTTAATTTAATGTACTCTAAGTCTCTTCTGTTGGATTACTAGCCTTTCCATGTTATCAATTCTATCTAAATGGCATGAGGAGCCAGCTCCTTGCCCATAGGATCTTTGTGTGTGATCAAACATGTTCTATGCTGCTGCTCCCTGTCTGCCTGGAGTTATTTCCACCCTTATCAATGATACCTTCCTGAGAGTCTATCACAGTCTGATGACCATACTCATCATCATGATAACTCTCCTGCTGAGCTTCAAGGTCTACACCTGTCATAGAATCCTGCTGATCAGAGCTCTGACTGTTGGAATGCCCTCCAAAGCGAAGTGACCCTGATATCACACTGCCCTCTTGAGAGTCATCTGGGTGGGTATGACCTGCTGCTACTCGTCCAACAAGAAGTGTTGGAGCAACTCCCTACAATGCTTGTTAGATGTGAAGATAGGAAGATAATAGGAACATACCCTTGAAATTGCTGCTAGACGATCTAAGTAGAGCAATATGACATCATCAAGGGCATTAAAGACCACAAATATGATCAAGATTATGGAGTAGAGAGCTGATGATTCAACTAGAATCTTAATGACTTGATGGTAAGCCCTGAGTCTATTCCCTGCTGCAGCTCCTTGTGCAACAGTGACAATATGGTAAATGATAAGCAGGGTACACAATACAGTTGAAGCAAGACTAAAGGATGGATAAAGTGTATCATATGTGTGATAGTCCCCATTTGGATTGATGTACACTTCATATACACTAATAATTTTGATTATTACAAGCCTTGGGTAAATTGGCAAATTGATAGAAGATCTAGATCTTACCAATTGCAGAAACAAGAAGAAGAACAGGAAGTAGAACAACTCGCCATTGTTGTCTCCAGATCATCCAGCAATGCCAAATCTACAGTCCAAATGACAGTAAGTAAGAGGCAGTGAGATGTCTCAATTGACACTCAATTGACACTTACCATGATAGTGTCTGCAAGAATAGTACAAATGATACTTATGCCACCTTGTATCACTCCTGATTGTAGGCATGGAATGGAATAATATACCATATAGATTGTCCAGAAATTCCATCCATCATTGAAAATTGAAATATAAAGTTGTGACCAAATGAGAGCAAAGGAAATAATAGAACCAATATAGAGCATAATTATAACAATGACCATGGGTTGTCTGATGGAACGAGACTTGTTCATGACTGTGCAATCCACTTTAGCTTGTATAATATAGCAAGGAGACATGTCTCCTCACAGATACTTCTTATTGTGACAGCAGTGATTCCAGTGTATATTCCTACATGCAGCCATATTAGACACTTGTATCTGGATGAGTAAGTGCACATACCAGACAGTAAAGAGGCAAGGATTGTGGAATTCAGAATAGCATCAAGGATATGAAATACAATGGCTTTATCAGCATCAGTAAGATCTGGTGGAATACTACTGGTTGGAGTAGCCATCAAGAAGTCTAGGAGAAGGTGGTATAATAGGAGAGAGGGAGTAGTCTGGAGATAATAAACACTAACCAGTCATTATATAGCATATAGGAGAATCAGAAATGAATATCTGACAGCATTTAAAAGCTTAGTAGGGAGGCAGACAAATATCATGATCTGCACCAAGATGATCTGATTCTATTAAATATCATTTACATTGTCATAGCAAAGAAGGAAGTCAGATATAACAGTTACTCAACATAGGTGACCTTCCTGGTGATAATCAGATAGAAAAATCACATACCAACTCAACTGTCTTCCCAAACAATAGAGCATAGCAACCTAGTATATGTGTACTTATCTTTGGGCTGACTATTCCCAAAGAGTCCTACCAGTCAAACATTCCCAGTAGAAATTTGATCATCTTAGCATTTCCTGTTAGTAAGAATTGTGGAATTACCTGAGCAGTGATGTAAACCTACCTTAGCACACCACTGCTTGCTTTTGGTGCCCAGCAGTAGGATTATATGGATTTTACTTTCAAGTTGTGATAATGATGAATTACATGAGCTTATGTATGATACGCATTAGCACCACATTTCGAGAGCATTCAAGACATGAATAATTATATTAAGATCAATACATAGATATCAATAGAAAATATTAAACAGTCAAACCTCAATAAATACCACCCCTCAATCCAACTCGGGTAAATGAACCGCCCCCAGCCACGCCAAAATAACCTCCACCCTCGGTCTATGAAGTGGGATATTAATCTGCAATAGCTTCTTCTTCGCACCTGCAGCCTTATCAGCAGTGGCCCTCTCCACGCGTTCCCGTTGGCGGTTGACGACAAGTGCCAACAAGATCCTCGCACAGTCCAGAGCTTCGTCCGCGTCCTGGCGGCCCGGAGGGGACGGTGGTGGAGACCCGGTACCAGATGACGGACTATCATCACGAGAACTCCCAGCCCCAGTTGAGGAGGACCCTGTGTTTATCAGGATGGGAGAAGGCGGAGGCGGAGGGGTTACCGGTCGAGCCTCGATAGCCAGTCTTCCCTTCGCCCTGCCCTTGGAGAGAGAATGAGGCTGGATACCGTTCTTCCATCCACCAGCGAGTCGCTCCAGAACCTCTGCTTGGGCCATGGATCGAGGGGGGAGGAATACGGGGTATCCTTCAAGCCCATCCACGAGAGCTGCAGTACGGATGAACCTCTTCAACAGCCCCAAAAAGTCGGCAAGCATCAACTGACAGATGAGAACGCTGAAATGGCTTTCTACGAGCAACGGGTTGTACGTTGTGAACATTGCTGGCGTATCAGATAACGGGAAAGGCGAGGATCCGTTCGAGTGGTTCCCAGGCCGGATGGACTCTGAGAGTAAGAACGCATACTCGACCTGCTTCGCCAAGTCCCCTTCACTATCGAACAAGGAATTGGGCGACTCGAGGGTGTCAAAGTGAGCTAAGAACTTGCCATGGTCCCGGATACTCTTCTTCAGCAATGAAGTGACCTGGTCCTTGAACCTGCCTTCTCCAAGTGCATCCCTATATGCCCTCGCCTTCGCACCTCCCATCTCCCCAAGCGGACCATCAGGGTGCCCAATCTCTACTCCACCGTATTTCCCGTTCTCCAGATAACACAGCCTCAGCTCATCACCATCGATGGACGGAGCCTTGCGTATCCCTTCGAGCTGCAAGACAGCACCTTCAATGAGGTGGACCGCGTGTTGCAGATATGCCGCTCCGCGCAGAAACAGCAACTATGGCCCAATCAGATCCGGGGCATCTGGGAGAACAGATGGGTGGATCAGGAGCGGCTCCCCATCTGGTCCGTCAACTGACGAGTCTATCGTACTCGTACCGCTCGGTGGGGCTTGCCCATTGGTCTTGCCACCCCCGCCCTTCCTTTTCTTCGTACTCTTTGTTCGTGATTCGGAGGGCCCTCCACGGTCGGTATGGGCTACCTTGGCTTTACGCGCAGCTCGAGACTCCTTGAGAGCGTGTGTGAAGTCTCTGGTCGCCTCTGGGTACTCATCACGGAAGCAGCGAACGATTCCACGCGTACGGTAGAATTCTAATCGTTGAGGCTGAGCTCAGATAAGCTCGTCGAGGACTTGGGTCGTAGTAGATTCCGCTAATTGATGAGAAGGTATTTTCTCGTGAAAGAAATGGACGTATTTCGCGTCCGCGTCATTGGGGTCTGTTCATTGTACCTGTAAATACTAGAAAATAATATAGATGATAGGCACGCACCAAATTTGAGCACTCGTTCCGCTACATCTTCGAACACGCTACCACCTTGCATGACCATGACACTCGACGCGATCTCGTCTGCCTCGTATGCCTGTGCGAGCTTCTGCACCGCCAGTGCTCTCAATCTGTGGATGCGCATTGCAGACATTGCAACATTCCTCCCATTACCACCCATGTTGCCTAGGGGATTGATCCCGAGCGTCTGAGCAGCAGCCCAAGGGCTCCCACCAAGTCCTACAGAACCGCCGCGCATGGAACCCAATTCGGCTGCCTCGTCGATAAGTCGACGTATCGAAGTAACATTACGAAACATCCCTGGGTCGATAGGCGGTGGGGTTGCCCTGCCTGGTTTCGGTGGAGGAATTGGCGGCGGTAAGGGTGGACTGGCAAGTGATGCTCGTGGAGAGTCGGGAGGCGAAAAGTCATTCAGGTCTGCGGTCTCGGATATGGTTGGTACTGGAATTAGGCGTCGGGGAAATTGACGGTATCCTTGGCCCTGTAGCTGACAGCGTTGCAGAGCACTAACAGTTTTTCAATAGGCAGTTGTAGCCAAGGTCCCTATATTCTCATAAGTTCGAAAGAAAATATAGCAGAACAAAGCGACGCACATAGCTGTTGTATCTTCAATGCTTGTTCCTGCTAATACAGAGGACAGTCTTCATCTGAATCCACCGTCAGCCACTAAACACTCTGAACAAGAAGCATGCTCACCCTCGCTTTACCCAAATCAAACCTTTCCCTCCCTCGTCGACAATGCTGCGGGCACGATGTCAATCACAGCAACATCCGCCCATCCCTACTTATGCATAGCGATCGTCTTCAAAGAGTGTGTGCAGGTGAGAAGGTCGGGCAATGAAAGGAGGCGTCCCTCCGGCGATGGAGGTGTCTACATGAAAAGAGCATGAGAGCTGTACCGGCTCGGTCCGGCACTGCCGCGTTAACACAAGTACATGCCCCGACCGAGATGAGTATATGAGAGGAGAGAATGTATGAAGAGGAAGGAGGAAATTGCTAGCTGAAGTTCAATCGTGGTGGAAGGATAAGTGCTGACACCGGAAACTTCACAACGCGTCAGCCACGTAGTACCACTTCCTTCTGTTCTTAGTATCCATGCTCATCGATATTCCCTTCTGCCTCGACGCTCAGTAAGCTACTCGTCAAGTCCATTCTCATCAATGCAAGAACACGAAACTTCGACATTTCAGCAAAATGGATTTAAGTGTGGTGTAGACTGTCAAACGAACTGCGGATGTCAACTTGTTGGCTTTCTTCAATTCATATCTCTGCCTCGTCCTTTCCTAACCTCCGGGTCAGCATCAGGTTCGCATGCTCTGGATTGCAACCAATTACTTTTCGACCTGCCAACTTCATGCTTTTAATCGAAGGCGCCGTTCCAACATTGAATCTAATACCGTCGCATTTGGGGAGGCCGTCTCATTTCACTGGTTCGAATTTCGGAGAACGACATTTGTACCCTGCTCGCCTACGTCTAGCCATTGCCCCAGGGGAAAGGCAACATGAAGAACCATTAGGTGGCGGATTCCGAAGGGGATACGGTGATGAATGTATGCTGCTAGACTGAGAGAACCCCAAAGTGAGTTCTGTTTCTCTCATGACATGCAAATGGCTCGTAGTTATGTTTTGATCCATTTGTTGAAGGAAAAGCCTATTTTATTCGCAAAATTTGCTATACGAGACTGTTTAATGATACTACGCTCCCTCTTCGCCCCCAAAAGTAAGCTTCTGTCAAATTTCCGTGTCAAACATTCCTAATTTACATTGCCTACACGTTCAGACGACTTCAAATTCTCACGCGCGGACCTGGAAATCTCTAGGTGAAGCCGGGATCCAATGACTGCATCTACCTCTATCGCGAACGGATCTTTATTGGACCTGGATGTCTCTCTGACCATGCCCTATCTTCTTCGTTGATCATTAATGTCGTTTGAAGCAAGAACCTGCAAATCGGAGTCAGATATCAGCGTCCACGATGCTCAAAACTCACTCGTTAGAGCGCGCACACCCCATACTCGCAGCACTCCTTCGAAGGAAACAGCACTACGGGAATATTTGCGGCTCAGCATTTATCCATCTACATTGATACGTCGAGCCCTGGAAAGGCCACAATCTGCCGAATACATTGAACGTAAGCAGCATCTCGTGTAATTTGGAATTGAAACTGACTTCTGAGCAGGAGAACAAAACGGGAGTGTTTACGCTCGTTTCTAAGCGTCGCATATGCCGTCAGAGGGATAATTTGATCAAGACGTACTGCAGACTCAGGGGCTCAGTCTCCCATCAGCGCCGCGTCTGACTTGGCCCCAGAATATTGATAGTAGCTCTTCCTTGCTCTCACCGCCCTCGACAGTCTTCAAGTTTGGTCCTTCGAGTCGACGTGGGCGTTGATGCTCAGATCGGGATAGACTCGTGTGGGCGCACTTCCTTCTTTCCTAACCTCTTTATGGTAGGCCTTTTCGTTCTTCGTTCGCTATGTTCTAAGCTTACTTTCACTTCTGTAGACTATTGCCCATCCTGCACACGACTACACTGTTCGTCTTTGCTGAGCCGTTCTCTCCTTGGACGCCCGGGCCTCCAGAAGGCTCAAATTTTCATCTCAGATACCACACACCGAGCCAACCCTCCGCGTCGTCGCGTGAGGAAGGAGGGATCTTGCGTCCACTTCTCAAGGTCAGTCTATTCTTTCTCACGTACTGTTTGGAAGTGAACTGAATTATAGTCTCTACTGATACAACTTCAAAACTGAAACCCTTCCAGACAGCCGTGGTCATATCAAGAAGGCTTTCAATGAGAACCAGATGCCGCGTCGTCTTGATACCACATCTTCGAGCAGCCGTGAGTCACACATTAAGCCGTCTGCATTCTAATCATTATCCATATACTCATCATAGAGAATACAGGATGGTCTAGTGACGACGTATCGCCGTCCGGTGAGCGAGGTAGGTTCTCAGATAGTCTTGTCCTCCTGATCGTTCTTATCATCTTGCGTAGCTTAAAGATCACCCTTGCGGAGCTTGTCGCGTGCTCGCAAACTCGTTTAATTAAGAGACGCCTCCTCGCTAACCCAGTTTAGATGCGATGCCAAATACCTGTTCCCCAGGGTCGACGACTACGTAGAATGTAAGCCTTTTAGGATTTGTCGAGAGTTCACATCACTCCCATGGAATAGATATCTTGGCTCTGTATTTCCTACCACTCCTGAAATGTCTTTTGCATTCATTGAATGGAAATAGGCAAACCAGAAAGCAGTGAATCTACGGGCAATCAAACAGAAGGTAATTTCTCAGTAGTCGTACAACCGCTCTCGGTGAAGACGGAGAATAGCTTCGCAAGAATAATGTCGAAAACCCCAATCGGAAGTAAGGAAAGGTTCGAACCGACCTGAACAGACTTCGTTTCTGAATATATTCATATCTGTTATACATCGACAAGATCCTAATCTATGCCTGGGACATTCGAACTTAACAAGGACTATCCAGAGTCTGAGCCTTTATATCTAGCACATGCATCGGTTCCACTGACGATCTACTGGAGCGTAGCTCGGCCATTGGTACACTGATGTCCTATAAAGAAGTTATGAGGCCTCCGCTCCCGGCTGAAAGATTGGGAACTAGTATTCACCTGCTCCTGAGTTTGTATATCAGTAGCCACCGTACTCCGAGCTTTGAATCTCATAGATTCCAAAACCGTACTTGGTAGGGACCTGCTGGCACCGCCGCTCGTAGATATCACGATATTTTCTTGGTGTGTATTTCGTAGGTTCAGCCTAGGGCAAGCGTAAGCCAGGGTACGTGCCGAAACAGAGTTATGTACATTGCTAGTAGTGAGTTGAGATAAACTTGAAAGTGTTAGTAAGGACAGACATATAACTGGAAGGAATACCTCTTGGTAGAGGAGTCGCGATTCCTGCAGCTACGAGTGAGTTCGGCATAGACACAAACTATGGGGTCTTTGCGTCAGGTTGTCAGATTCATGACAAGAAGAGAGTATAATAACCGTAATAAGAATTGTCAATGCACATATACTGGGCGGCTGTCAGTCAGGGTTTTAGAGATAATCTGCTCAAGACTTACGTAGTAGCCAATCCGGACACAATAACAAAGCGCGATAGTATCAGGAGCGGCTTCGTCGTCCTGCATTGATTGTAAGCATTCCACGAATCTTAGACGAGAGCAGATCAACCTGGAAAAATTCAAAACTGATCGACTTTTGAGTAGATAGTACGACATGGCACCGCATATAATGATATCGACTGCTGCAGTTGTAGCCAAGAGCGCTTCAATCGATTTCTATTTTTCTTTTAGCGAGTTGAAAGAGATGATAAAGGTATGGATTTCCGCACAGAGACCGTCTCAGCGTCCAGGTAAGTTTTGATCGTAAATCTGTTCAGTCGCAAGATTGAGTATGCTAGTATAACCGGAGCAGATGAGGGGCCTTACATAGCATGGATTTCATCTTGCGCGAAAACAGTGATAAGTACCAAGTATGCATCCTGAAGGAATGACTCACTGATAACAACAGCTACCGAACCAGAAGGGTAAGACACCGATACCATGATGAGTTGACGGCGACGTACCGGATGTGCCTGCGATGACAACAGCCTGAACGAACCCCGATCAGAATTGAAGTTCCATACAAATTGGGATGTTGTGACTCACAACCAACCATGGGATTGTCTTATGGAAGAAACGTCCTACTAGAAAGACAATTGAGTTATAGTACCGTTCTGTAAGTAACTTGATGGGCACACGCACACATCCATATTCTCACCGCGTAAACACTACAACGAAGTGGTTAGCGCTGGCCGTACGGACGATGAGAGACTCGTACATATCTACGAGAAGGATCTCCAGACCCTGAACGAACCAAGTTAGCGGACGGGGAACAGTGTCCAGAACGAATCGGTATAAGTACCAAGAACATGATGTCTGTCTGATAAAGAACGCATCAGACGATCAAACAGTTTGATAGACGCATAGTTGATCACCTTAAAGCTCCTTGAATGTCCTCCAAGTCAAAATCGGGGGCAAGAAGAAGAGATGGCGAACGTACCACACAATAGTCAAAAGTGCTTCGGGATGCCCAAAGTTTTTGATCAGATAGTAGTAGAGAGCATGCGCATAGAAAATGAGATAAAGCGTGTCGACGATCCTGGAAAACGCATTATGCTGGTATACCGTAACCTTACAAATCGACGTACCAGAGAAGGCCAACCTATTTCGTTAAAAAAATCAAATTATGAGACGAGTAAAAGTAAAGATGCCCTACTGCGAACCGATAGAACCACCAGTCATTTGGGAATCTGCTGAAATATGTCATTGACTGCATGGCTGTGAGACCCCAAAGCCTGCGGCCGGGGTAAATGATCGTAAGCCAAGAGGTCGAAGGCAGGAGATCATAATAACATACGCTGTAGCCACTGTAGCGCCTATGTAGATCGCTCCCATAGTCGAAGCAATATCAGGAGACATGACGGATGATGTTGATAGAGATCAAGAGAGCTCCTTTGGTATTTATACTAGATCACCGGAGTTACTGAAGTGATCATCAAAAACTCAAACGACTCCGCCTGATGACTGGAGAGCGCTCGAGCACGGCCATATCTGATTCTTGTTTCATTGGCGTTACGTTCAGCAAGGACGTCCGGTCATAAGGAGATGCAGTTGTTTTCTTTTGCTGAACGCCAAAAGTGGAGGATTGCTGAGACGACCTAAGTCAAGATTCGGTATCCGGAAAGGCTCTTGGAAAAAGATAGACAGACAATTCAGGAATATCTTCTGATTGTTTTCTTCTGTGCACCATGTGGACAAATCCTGAGAATGCGGCTAGTAGACTCATTTTCAAGCCTAATGGATCTCTTGAGCATTCGGTGGCGTGTTCCTGTCACGAGAAAATGGAAACAAATGATAATCTCCACAATCCGTTTCGTCCTAAGAGATCAATATAAGCTTTTGATATTGGCCACCTCCTTGGTATATAAAAGACATCAGACCTGGGGAATTATACTCCATGGTTAATCGAAATTTGCGGCTCCGTGTTTCGTTGGCGTAAGTTCGCTTTGCTGAGTTCCTGAATCCTGCGAATGTAGCTGGAAAAGCCAAGTCAAAACCTTGAGAGCGAGTAGGGATACCCACCGTCTCTGTATAGCAGCGAATATGGACACCGTACCGTCAGACCCTCAGACTTCTGGTTTACGGTGTGGCTTATGGTACAGGTATGGCCGTATGTACGGCTTCGGCTTTATGGCCGTAATCACGGCATCTCCTTTAGGCAATGCAAGTGGCTGTGCACCACTTCAATTATTTTTCCAAAATGAAATCTTCGGAACCTGGTCCTCAGAATGTAAATGCAATTTCCGAGGCTTTTACTTCCTGTATATTCATTGACTGCCGTCTTTTCTTGCTTGCATTTAGTGGATAGCACCATAAGAAGATGCATCCATGCGATGTATGAAAGCTTTTACTACCTATCTTCCTTCCAGAGAAAGCAGAGAGCTAGTTCACATACTAAGTTGAAGCGATCTGATCCTCGCAGGAAGATGCTATCACAACGCGTAATAGTGTAAATCACCTTCTCGGAATGTGGATCGTATTGACAACCATCTTGGTTGTGGGTATATTCGTAGTCCCCTGACGTTGTATGCAGGTGACTGTTTCACGCTAACCTCGCAGATAGACCTTTACCATGAGAGGACGCAAAGTATTTCATTTGTTGTCGTAGGTACACCTCGTAAATTGATAGACGTAACACGAAAGCGCGCGCCTAACGAACTTGAGTGAAGCATCACCGAGACGACCAGCAACAGTAACGTCCAAGCCCCCAGTAGCTTCGTATGATTCTTCCTGTAACTTGGATCCCTGGCTGAGCCGAGGCGAATGATACTTGGCCTAGACTGCAGAACGTATCAGAAACGGCAAGCGCATACCAACATAACATACCTTTGAGTCCGGTTTGATGACGCTCTCAGAAACAAAGAGTACTATCTTCAAATAGCACTTCGCGGCCTTCTACGCGCTACCTAAGAATGTACCAGTGCCTTCCACCGATGTTTGATCGTAGTAATGGTATTCCTCTAAGAGGCGGTGGTTGATCTGTTGATATTGAGCGTCAGGTAAACCAGAGCCGCCGCCGCGTACCTCCGTCCTCTGTGTGATTTGGCAAAACTTTGTGGTCTCTGTTGGAAGAGTAGGGTCGATGATCGTCGCCATCACGACCCACCAGGACGACGAAAATCGGTTCCGGCTTGATAGTCCTCATTAGTATCATCGACTGCATGCAAAATATTGGCGCCCACGTTGATATTTGGGTATGGAAACAGTTTACAGAGCTAGAACGCGTAGACACGGAGTTGTAGGGGAATGTAGGGCGGCGTGGATCAGGTTGCTGGTGACTATGGGGACATATGAGCATATCATGATGAACTCCCAGCGTAGTGAGCCTCACCTGACATCAGACATCCAGACAACGAGTAACCCAACGCCCGTAAACCATGATTTGCAGGACAAGGGTATGAGGGCTGGCTGGCGAAGATATCTCGGTGTGTGAGGCAGCTACGCACAATACGAATCTGAACTCTTCGCACCCGAATGCAAAGGAAAAAGAAGGACGCACGATGGTTTCCATGGTTATCCCCCAAACCTGCCTTGAACTACACTTCTCGCCTCCGCTGAGACTTCAACTGACTGACCAGCCAAGCCACCGTGCTCACGATCGTAGGTATTTGCCGGATGGCACGTCCAGTAGCTGGTTGCTACCCAAGGCGCTCTAAAACTGGCGGTAGTACATCGATCCTTCGTACTGGCAGAGAAGACGGGTCTTCGCTATTAGCGTTGGTAACTATTCCTTGTTAGGCCCACGAAAGGAACGGAAATCGCGATTGAGGGCGAAGATGAGGACAGAGTCGTAGACGCGATTGTCAGTGCTGACGAGAGACCGTATTCCAAAGCTTTGGATCTGGGAGTAACAGTATACTGTAAGAATACGTGGAAAATATGCGAAGAGCAAGACTCACCAAGGTGCTTTCGAAAGGGAACGAAAGAGGAGAACAGAAGTGCCCGGCGGCGGTCATGATGGCAGGACGGTCACTTTGATTGTCACCGGCTTGCTCTCTAACCACGACCACTGCTCTGGCTCATCTTCTTTCTAATTCAGTACTCGTCAACCTTTGGGGAGAGACCATTCGATATCGACACGACGGACGTACAAAGCTGTATGGAATAATGTTGACGCGAGACCACGTAGTCCGGCTGGGCTTATTAGATCAATGAAGGCGACGACGAGCGAATGAACACAGGTCAAAAGTACGCCCCTCGTGTGTTTGAGCTATTCAGTGTGGTATTGACGCGCATGTATTACGCCTAGTCCCGGTGCTGACGTAGCCTGGCGCCAGGACCCATCGAACCCAATAAGCTTCTCTTCCCTCTTCGTCCATCTCTCTGGCCCCCTGCTCGGCGACCCACGTCTATTAAAGTGCTAGACATGCGCTCAGGGCGCGCTACATGCAGCCTGGGCAATACGGTAGTCGGAGTCGGCAATAAAATGGGATCGATGCAATGAGTGCGTGCTCCGTAGTGCCATATCGTCCAATCACAGCTAACCGTTTAGCTTTTCTCCAGGCCACCGATGGATCGTGGAACCGAACGGAAAAACGTCTTGCACCGATTTTTTCGCGGCTCTTATCTATGCATTTTTCTCGGCGTCAAAAGCGGCTCTGTCATGATACGACTTCGACGGGACGAATGGGCTATTTATCCGCTTTCCTACATTCTCCGGTGACAACCCTTCTGGCCTAATAGCAGCAGGTTCTCAAAAATGGTGTAGCAGGCGCCGTATACCCGCACAGTAATCATGCAGTGTATTGTTCCCGGAATCCTCTTGTCTATCTATCAATATGTCTTTCATTTCGCCTTATGATAGACTTTTGCCAATGTCTCTGAACGCCCACTTGTACGTCATTGATTCGTCGTCATCATACCAGCCACAAGAGTTCAAACGTGCTATTTCAGCATGCGACCATTCGGATTCACAACCAACGTTGATCACGAGCCAACGTGGCTGCTCGTCATGCTGCGTGAAACAAGCGCTCGGCATCGGAAACGGTACTCTGGGGCGGTACTCCGAATTCGTTGACATCAGGAGCACTGACGCCATCACTACAAAAGGCCCCCTTCTGCTTATCTTATCATCGCGGGGGTACTCTTGTCTCCCTCCCTCACCTCTAACTACAACCACTACCATCATCACCACCACCACCCACTAGCGCGTTTTCCATTAGACGAATCTTCATTGCTTCGTTATGTCAGTCATCTCTCTCTCCAAGGCCGTCTCCGACTCCTCCGTCGTCAAGTCTGCTGGCGCAGATAAGGACGCCAGCGCACCACTCTCCTCGTCCTTCCCCTTCTTGCCGACCATCAAGGACCAGCGGGCGTACGAGCACAACCGCCAACGTGTCAAGAAGGCTGCGGATGTCCTCAAGATGAGACAGCAGAAGCGGTCGGGTTCCCCCTTCTTCAAGCTAGATAGGGGCACCGTGTCGGAGAAGTACAGGACACTCAGAGCAGACGACATCGACCCGCTGGACGGTGTCTTCGTCGAGAGCGCGCATCGGGATGAGACCCCGCCTTTGCCAAAGTCGCCCGAGGTGAAGCTGTCGGATCTCATCGTTCGGAAGCAAGATAGGAAGAAGGGTGGGTCCTAGGCCTGTTTCGTTCTGGGTGTATTGCGTGCTTATCGCTTCGTGTTTGACAGAGCCGGATTTCGAGGTCATCCCCCACATCCGCTCCGTTATCGTCCTTGATGACTTTACTCCCGACCTTGCCGCGGATGAGCCTTGGGAGCATATTTATGGCGAGAGCGATAGCGAATCTGGCGAACCGGTTTCCAAGACGCCTTCCTATGCTCAGGTTCTTGTTTCCAATTAATTTATGTGATATACCATATAACCATACCGTCTCTCGTTATCTCGCCGTCGCTACCCAATCAACTTAATTATATCCATAAGCCGGGACTAGATTGTAATCTACTTTACGCATGCTGTCGTTTATGCACTCCTTGGACCATTTGCATTGTATGTAGGATTATATGTATTTTACTAGAGTCGATGTCATGATATCTATGAATTACATGAGCTTATGATATATCTCCTAGGGTTAACATTACCTTGCTGAAAAGTAAGGTCAACCCACAGTCATAAAGTTTCCTTTTCCGTCGTCTGCCAAAAGCAATTAAGTACAAATAGGTGGCTGTGCTCAATCCAGCAGTCCTCTTCCTACTCTCGCATCTGCCAAAACCAAACAAATACAACGTAGCCGTGCAGCATGTCAAGACTCAGTACTCAGTACTCAGCCGTTTACCATCTCGACTCTATCGCACCTGCAGCACTAGCTTCAAAAAGTCGCCTCGCACATTGAATATTGAACGTTTGAACCTGAACATCTGGGGAATTGCTTAAGAATTGGATCGTGAGTGACTAATACCTTCTCCGTATTTCCCTTCGCTGATGCTCATGCGTCGCACTTTATAGTCTGTTCCACTTACGAGGACTAGTACTACTCGCTGTGCTGTCCTAGCACAATTAACACTGCATCTGTCCTTCTTGCCACCAACAAGAAGCACACTTTCTAACTTCGTCTCTGGACACTTGCAGAGGGAAAGTCTCCCTTTGGCATCCCATGCTCAATACACGAGAACATTGTACCCAACAAGATCATTATCACGTATATCAGCCCGCAAGACGAGGATCGGTACAAGCTTGTAAAAGGACCACAAGGTGATAGTCGAGGTACTAAAGGAGCTCGTCCAGGGGGAAAATACAGGAAAAGGCGAGGCAGAGTGGAAACTGAATGCTTTTCTGGCAGAGGGAATAGCCAAGGATGACCAGGACCGCGGAGCTAGGTGTGATCGCCTGGACCACCTATCTCGTAAGCCTATATGGGAATGAGCTCGCCCATCTACTGTTCATGGTCCTGATGAAGCTTTCAGCCGCCATCGATATATTATATTCAGGTTTGCGCATGATGCACGCAGTCCAATATGATACTGGTGAGTACATCTGTTAGTGCTCTACGCCATTGATCCTTATCCGTTCACTAGATTCTGCTATTCTCTCCTCCCACTTGCCACGTATCTACCACACTATGACAAATCGACATCAACCCCAACCCAACGACCCATCCCCACGACCCTCCTTCAGTCGGACATTCCCTTCCGATATTGCGTCATCCCCTACCACTCAACGACGTCTACCTGTTCCCGCTGCGCTGGTCTTTCAATGGCTAGTAACGTGCGTTGTTGGAAAGTAGAAGAGGACGTTGCCTCCTGTCTGGTGCGAGGAGGGAGTGAGTATGCCTGGAGACTGCGCGAAATATGACCCCACCCCATCCTGGTGTGTAGGTGTCCGAGTTTTGGCTGGAGACAATGGATCGTCTTCCGGCAAGCAAGACGTCTGCGCCTAGACGATGTATTCAAAACCGGTGAACACACCCACGGCGAAACTTCGCATAGGGTAGGGACGGCAGGTAGTCTTAGGAGGGACTGGTTTTACCTCGACGCCATGTATCGACGTCCGGCAAGCGAGAGCATGGCGTCGGGGTATTGTTGGGGATACAAGGAGTATAGGGCTAGGGTAAACTGGACATAGTACGCACGTCGCACGATGTCGACTGTCTTCGTTACGGATCGAGATCCTTTGCGTCTAGCTGTTATTGTACACCTCGCACCCCAGCCTCTCCCTGGACGACGACTTTTGCGCGGACATGACGTATCGACATCTGGCGAACGAGCGCACGGCGTCGTGACACCGGTCGGAATTTTGGAATAGATTATGGGTCTGAGTTCGGGGACTCTTATTAGAGATGGTTTGGCACTATGCAGTGTGGATTTTTCAATGTACAAATGATCTGCGAGGTATACGACTGGTATATCGGTGTTCAAAGAAGCAGACGTGCCACGCAAACACTTCGTAACATATTGGTATGACTTACGTAGATCAACCCGACGAGGAATCGTCGCTTTCAGTGTTTCCTTACATGTTTTGAGTCGGGAGCATTGCCAATGAAAGGTCGACTCGAAAGAGACAGCAATAGGGTTCAAGGACAAGATTCAGCAAGGTCGTACTCGCCTCGGCACGCGGCAGGCACTTGTTGTGAAGGTGTCAGTATAGAGTTAAAATCTTGAGTCCTGGAAAACAAACTCCCTTCAGTCCAAGTCAGGCTTGGTCTTATAGATGGTTGATTTTGTTTGCATGTTTATTACACTGGCAGAATCTGATGTTGGTGAAAGCTATGAACATATCATAATGTGAGAATCTTTAGCTGAAGATGATCAACAATTCAGTATTAATGTTGACAATTTAATTTAAGGTACTCTGAGTCTCCTACATTGGATTACTGGCCTTTCCATGTTAACAATTCTATTTAAATGGCATGAGTAGCCAGCTCCCTGCCCATAGGATCTTTGTATGTGATCAAACATGTTTCATGCTGCTGCTCCCTGCCTGCCTGGAGTCATTTCCACTCTCATCAACAACACCTTCCTGAGAGTCCATCACAGTCTGATGACCATACTCATCATCATGATAACTCTCCTGCTGAGCTTCAAGATCTACACTGATCATAGAATCCTGCTGATCAGAGCTCTGACTGCTGGAATGCCCTCCAAACTGAAGTGACCCTGACACCACACTCCCCTCCCAAGAGTCATCTGGTTGGGTATGACCTACTGCTACTTGTCCAACAAGAAGTGTTAGTGCAACTCCCTACAATGCTTGTTAGATGTGAAGACAGGAAGATAATAGAAACATACTCTTGCAAATGCTGCTAGATGATCAAAGTAGTACACTATGACATCATTATGGGCAAAAAAGGCCACATATAAGATCAAGGTTATGGAGTAGAGAGCTGATGATTCAACTAGAATCTTAATGATATGGTGGTAAGCCCTGAGTCCATTCCCTGCTGCAGCTCTTTGTGCAACAGTGATAATACGGTAAATGATGAGCAGGGTACACAATACTGTTGAAGCAAGAATGAAGGATGGATAAAGTGTAAAGTATGTCACATAGCTCTCATTGTTTGTATTGATGTATGCTTCATATATACCAATACTTTTGAATACTACAAGCCTTGGGTAAATTAACAAATTGATAGAAGATCTAGATCTTACCAATTGCAGAAACAAAAAGAAGAACAGGAAGTAGAACAACCAGCCATTGTTGTCCCCAGATCATCCAGCAATGCCAAATCTACAGTCCAAATAACAGTAAGAGGCAGTGAGATGTCTCAATTGACACATACCATGATGGCATCTGCAAGGATAGTACAAGCAATACCTATACCACCCTGTACCACTACCAATTCTATGTTAGGATTGCAATAATATAAATAGGTTGTCCAGAAATTCCATCCATTATGGAAAAATACAAGTTGTGACCAAATGAGAGCAAAGGAAATAATAGAACCAATATAGAGCATAATTATAACAATGATCATGGGTTGTCTGATGGGATGAGACTTGTTTATGACTGTGCAATCCACTTTAGCTTGTATAATATAGCAAGTAGACATGTTCTCCTCACAGATATTCCTCACTGTAACAGCAGTGATTCCAGTGTATATTCCTACATGCAGCCATATTAGACACTTGTATCTGGAAGAATAAGTGCATGTACCAGACAGTAATGAGATGAGGATTGTGGAATTCAATGTAGCATCAAGAAAATGAAATATACTAGCTTTATCAGCATCAGTAAGGTCTGGTGGAATACCACCGGTTGGAGTGGCCATCAAGAAGTCTAGGAGAAGGTAGTATAATGAGAGAGAGAGAGAGACAAAGAGTAGTCTGGAGATTTGAATAAACACTAACCAGTCATTATATAGCATATAGGAGAATCAGAGATAGATATCGAAAAGCATTTAAAAGTTTAATAGAAAGACAGACAGATATCACAATCTGCACCAGGATGATCTGATTCTATTAAATATCATTTACATTGTCATAGCAGAAAAAAGAAGTCAGATATAACAGTTACTCAACATAGGTGACCTTCCTGATGATAATCAGATCAAAAGATCACATACCAGCTCAACTCTCTTCCCAAACAGTACATCCTAATAGAGCACAGCAACCTAGTATACATGTACTTATCTTTGGGCTGACTATTTCCAGATAATCCTACTGGTCAAACATTCCCAGTAGAAAATTGATCATCTTAGCATTTCCTGTTAGTAGGAATTATGGAATTACTATCTCAATCTGACACATCCTCTTCACAGGTGATTGACTCTCAATGAGCACTATATATGATGTGAAACTACCTTAGCATGTCCCTTCATGCTTTTGGTGCCCTGCTGTAAGATTATATGGATTTTACTAAAGTCATGATAATGATGAATTACATGAGCTTATGTATGATATGCATTAGCACCAGATTTCGAGAGCATTCAAGACATGAATAATTATACTAAGATCAATACATAGATATCGATAGAAAATATTAAGCAGTCAAACCTCAATAGATACTGCCCTCAATCCAACTCGGGTAAATGAACCGCCCCCAGCCATGCCAAAATAACCTCCACCCTTGGCCCATGAAGCGGGATATTAATCTGCAACGGCTTCTTCTTCGCACCCGCAGCCTTATCTGCAGCGGCCCTCTCCGCGCGTTCCCGTTGACGGTTGACGACAGGCGCCAACAAGATCCTCGCACAGTCCAGAGCTTCGTCCGCGTCCTGGCGGCCCGGAGGGGACGGCGGCGGGGACCCAGTACCAGACGACGAACTGTCGTCGCGAGAACTCCCAGCCCCGGTTGAAGACGACCCTGTGTTCACCGGAATGGGAGAAGGCGGAGGCGGAGGGGTCACTGGTCGAGCCTCGATAGCCAGTCTTCCCTTTGCACGACCCTTGGAGAGAGAATGAGGTTGGATACCATTCTTCCATCCACCAGCGAGTCGTTCCAGGACCTCAATGAACTCTGCTTGGGCCATAGACCGAGGAGGAAGGAATACAGGGTACCCTTCGAGCCCGTCCACGAGCGCTGCAGTACGGATAAACCTCTTCAAGAGGCCCGAAAAATCGGCGAGCATCAATTGGCAGATGAGAACACTAAAATGGCTCTCCACGAGCAATGGGTGGTACGTCGTGAACATCGCTGGCGTGTCAGATAACGGGAAAGGCGGCGGGGTCCCGTTCGAGTGGTTCCCAGGCCGGATAGACTCTGAGAGTAAGAACGCATACTCGACCTGCTTTGCTAAGTCCCCTTCACTATCGAACAAGGAGTTGGGCGACTCGAGGGTGTCGAAGTGAGCTAGGAATTTGTCGTGGTCCCGGATACTCTTCTTCAGCAATGAAGTGACCTGGTCCTTGAACCTGCCTTCTCCAAGTGCATCCCTATACGCCCTCGCCTTTGCACCACCCATCTTCCCGAGCGGACCATCAGGGTGCCCAATCTCAACTCCACCATATTTCCCGTTCTCCAGATAACACAGCCTCAGCTCGGCGCCGTCAATGGACGGAGCCTTGCGTATCCCTTCAAGCTGCAAGACAGCACCTTCAATGAGGTAGACCGCATGTTGCAGATATGCCGCTCCGCGCAAGAACAGCAACTGCGGCTCGATCGGATCCGGGGCGTCAGGGAGAACAGATGGGTGGATCAGGAGCGGCTCCCCATCTGGTCCGTCAACTGACGAGTCTATCGTACTCGTACCGCTCGGTGGGGCTTGCCCATTGGTCTTGCCACCCCCGCCCTTCCTTTTCTTCGTACTCTTTGTTCGTGATTCGGAGGGCCCTCCTCGGTCGGTATGGGCTACTTTGGCTTTACGCGCAGCTCGAGACTCCTTGAGAGCGTATGTGAAGTCTCTGGTCGCCTCGGGGTACTCATCGCGGAAGCAGCGAACAATTCCACGCGTACGGTAGAATTCTAATCGTTGAGGCTGAGCTCGGATAAGCTCGTCGAGGACTTGGGTCGTAGTAGATTCCGCTAATTGACGAGAAGGTATTTTCTCGTGAAAGAAATGGACGTATTTCGCGTCCGCGTCGTTGGGATCTGTTCATTGTATCTGTAAATACTAGAAAAGAATATAGATGATAGGCACGCACCAACTTTGAGCACTCGTTCTGCTACATCGTCGAACACGCTACCACCTTGCATCACCATGACGCTCGACGCGATCTCATCAGCCTTGTATGCCTGTGCGAGCTTCTGCACCGCCAGTGCTCTCAATCTGTGGATGCGCATCGCAGACATTGCAACATTCCTTCCATTACCACCCATGTTACCTAGGGGATTGATCCCGAGCGTCTGAGCAGCAGCCCAAGGGCTCCCACCAAGTCCTACAGAACCGCCGCGCATGGAACCCAATTCGGCTGCAGAAAGTCCGGAGGACGCCCTGACGGACAATTCGGCTGCCTCGTCGATAAGTCGACGTATCGAAGTAACATTACGAAACACCCCTGGGTCGATAGGCGGTGGGGTGGCCTTGCCTGGTTTCGGTGGAGGGATTGGCGGTGGTAAGGGTAGACTGGCAAGTGATGTTCGTGGAGAGTCGGGAGGCGAAAAGTCGTTCAGGTCGCGAAAGCTGCGGTCTCGGATACGGTTGGTACTGGAATTAGGCGTCGGGGGGATTGAGGGTATCCTTGGCTCTGCAGCCGACAGTGTTGCAGGGTCGAGATTAAGCACCAACAAAGATTCTAGCAGTTCAATAGGCAGTTGCAGCCAAGGTCCCTATATTTTCGTAAGTTCGAAAGAAAATATAGCAGAACAAAACGACGCACATGGTAGGAGCTGATGTATCTCCAATGCTTGTTCCTGCTAATACAGAGAACAGGAGGACGGTCTTCGTCTACTAATTTCGCTGCCTCTGGCTTCGCTTTAGCAGACTTCTTGGATTTCTTCTTCTTTTTCTTCTTCTGCGCTGATGCTGGAGTATCTGGTACTTCATCTATACCGTCAAGGGTAGGGGAACTCGAGCCAGACATAATCGAAGTTGGGGTCAACAGGCTCGAATCATCAACATCCGGCGAGTCCAAGATATCGGTTTGGGAGTATATTTCATCCATAACAGCAATCAAGGCGTTGAAGAGAGTTCCTGGCAGAGAATTGCCAGAATATGAGTTCGACGATGGTGGTTAAGTGCAAGCTCGGTAAAAATCGAAATACCGTAAATTCTTACCGTGGGAAATCAAATGATTAAATAACCAATTGCTTCATGGGCGGGTCCCGCAACGGCCCGGCCTTCCGTACTCGAGCATACGGCCTGACTAGCAACCAACACGATGGCCGTTGTCGTGCTCCACGGACCCCGCTTACTAGCAGCTAGTCATCTAGACGGAAATTCCCCCTCTGATGTATCTGAAATGAGGTGACTCAGCGCACAGAAACAACTAGGTAAACTTCAAGACAACCATTCATTCTCAGTCTCCACAGTCTTGACATGCAATTCATCGTTATGCCGCGGCTACAGGAAAGCCGTACACCTCCATTTGACACCGTAGGTGAATTCATTGAGGCATTTCGACAAATGTTTGAGGTACGTACTGACGCTTGTTACTACTGCTGCGTGTTGACTAAGCTTATAACTAGGGCGTGGAATTTATGCATAAGAATTTTGTTGCGCACAAGTCAGTATTTTCTTAGTAACGCCTTAGCAGTTGATTAATCAAACAGCGTTGACCATTCCCAGAGATATCAACATCTCGAACGTGATGCTAGACGCGACTGAGTTGTATCCGAAAGGCTTTGACATCCTGTTCACCAATCCCTGAACAGTAAATACAGTGGTTTCGCGTCGCATACCACACGTACCAGGTGTTGGCCTCGCTATTATATCATTGATTTTGGGTATTCTCGTCGGTACGTTCCGAGCGAACTTCCATTCGATGACATCCTAGCTGCAGGCGATAGGTCTGTGCCAGAGCTTCAGAAACTCAGTACCGACCCGTCTGCTAGGTTGAATCCGTTCCCTTTTGATGTTTACTGCTTGGGGAACATCATGCGTAAAGATTACAGGATAGTAAGTTTTATGACGCTCCTCATATATCATATTATAGTAACCTTTCGCTCAGGATTTATGTCCACCTCTGCATTTTCTTCTTCCTCTTGTTAGTGATATGACTCAGGAAGAGCCTTCGTCGCGGCCAACAATGAGCGAGGCTTCAGTGCGCTTTGCAAGGCTCCGTAATTCACTGACAACATTACAGTTGCGTGCCCCTCCGAGCGTCTACGCCGCTGGGTTTGGTCACCGCTGTCGACGGCTGATATACACGGTGACTGGCGTAGCTCCCCTACCTACGAAGGAGTTCTCGGAGCCTGTTACTGCCACTGATTCACGCCTTCGGTCGTTCTATACCTTCACGCCTGGACATGTGGAAGGAGACGCCCTGCTTATAGTTATTCTGGCTGTACTTTAAGTAATTGAAATGAAAAGGGACTGGAATGACCACTGGGACAGCCTCTCTGTGATTAAAATTTTGTCTTCCGGTCTACGTCATGGAGGACGAAAAGTCCGAAAATGTGCCAACCGGCATTGTGCGTGTACAGTTCGACTTGGGACTCCAGTCCCAGTTCCTTCCCTCTTCTTGGTCCATATTTCCTCTCCTTTTACTCCTGTGGCCAGAACTTGTACTTGCCCACACGTTAATGTCGATGCAACTTTCCCGGACTGATGCGTACAGCGCCAACAGTTTTTTCACTGAGGCCTCCATCGATCGAGGGACATCTCGTTCGTTGGCCGGCCTTCTCACCCGCACTGCACGCTTTGAAGTAAGTAGGGCCGTGTATGTGGTACTGTGATTGACGTCGCCTGCAGCGTTCTCGATCTCGGCGAGGGAGGGAGAGTTTGAGTTGGGTAGAGCGATGGTGAGAGTAGAGGGGCGCATTGGACGACCAACGGGGGTATAGTCGTCTGGATTATCTCGATACAATAAGGATGGACAAGGACGTTCTGAGCTCATGGAAGAGATTCGGCCAGAGCTGGAGAAAGTCGCCGCTCCAGGAAGGTGAGTAGGATAGGAAGAGCTCAAGGATTTCATACAAGGACAACGAAAATGGGGAACAGGCCCGTTCCAGTGGGCAAGGCTGAAGTTATGGAGCCATTTGTAGACCAGATCGAGTTCATGGCACTTGGTCATAGCGTACGCGTGCGCTAGACTCGAGCCAGTCCACACCTCGGTTGATGACAGTCGATCAACCGGAATCTTTTCGTCACATAGAGATGTCGCTAGCAAAAGCGAGCATCGTTGTCAAAGTAAACGCAGAAGTAGCAAATGATGCCCAGTGGGACAGCATCGAATTGTGATAGTCGTGGCAGGAAGAAATGAAATAGCACGCGTCTCTTTCCTTCTTTCCATCATGACGACTCCGTACTCTTGCACTAGCCCACCCCTTCGTCAGGTCATATTGGTGCAATCTCGGCACTGTGCTCGAATTCTGCAGGTTCGATAATTCATCCGTCTATCGCAATCAAGAAGAGGACCGTGCTTCATCACTTTCGTTATCTTCTCCGTTATCTCCTTCTCACTCGCCATCCCTATCATCAACGGTTTTCCTACGCGTATAGCGAGACATGGCCATCGGATTCGCTCCTTTGCCGTTGCCCGACTCTGCAGACGCGTCCAGTTTCTTGTCGTTCGGGCGACAAGTGAAAGGTTTTGACCCGACCAACTTTACTCAGGAGGAATTCGCAACGATTGAGGATGCCCTTTACAAGGTGCGTATACTATTTTCTGTGCTCTTCGTCGCCTGACATTGCCTAGCACGACCTTTTGCTTTTTCGCAATGCCGACGTGTCCCCGGAGAAACAGTACGCGCTCAACAGAGTGAGCATCCACGCCTCAAAAATCTTTCATCCGCTGACCTTCGCTAGGCCTTTGAGTTGGATGATCCAGTCTGCGACGACTTTGGGCACGGCAACAACGAGATAGACAAGAACAATAAATCAATCTTACATCCTGACCTCAAGACCATCCCCCGCGTACCCCAAGTCCAGCTTCTTGGCAACGGGACTATATACAACCACGAGGACATCTCCCAAGCTACGCTCAAGCACCCCTCCCACACGACATTCCACAAAACTCGTGTGTCTCCCGAGGACGAAACGAAAGGAGCGACCCGTTTCTTCAGATGGCATATCGATGCCGCCCTCTACGACAACCGACGCACACCCAAAGTCACCACCCTATACGCTATCAACGTTCCCAGGGGCCCCAAGCAGGTGTGCCGGTATGACGACGGAACGGGTGACGAGCTACCTGTGCCCCTGGGTACCACCGCCTTCGTCTCCGGCAAGACCATGTTCGATATCCTCCCTCCCGAGCTCAAGAGTCTCGCCGTGCGCTCCAAAGTCAAATACGCGCCTCTTCCATACGTGTGGATGGCTCCGGCGCATGCAGTGTCGACAGGGTTGGGATTGGGATCAGAGGGACTGGAGATCCCGTACAATAAGCTCCCGCCGTGGGAGGAGGCAAAGCGGATGGTGCTACCTGTTCTGTGGAAGAATCCGGTTACAGGCGAGCTACATCTCCAGGTCCATCCGTGCGCTGTGGCGGAGCTGTTGGTTGACCCGATATTGGAAGGAGGCAAGAAAGAAGGCGCGTTGTACCCTGATGGCGCGCATCTCACGGATTTGATGGAGGTCAGGGAGTTGTTGTACAAGATGCAGCGACCTGGTATTGCCCCCAAGGTGTGTATCATCTCTTTGGAGAGTCTATCGTTACTTACGACCTGCTTTCAGCTTGTTTATCCGCACGACTGGAATGAAAAAGATCTGGTTCTCTTTCACAATCGAGGAGTCTTGCATAGCGTCGTGGGTGCGTTCAACAAGGATCAGATCCGCGTGTTCCATCAGTGCAACCTCGCCGCGTCGGATAACCCTGCTGGACCAACTGCGGAGGATGCGAAGAAGTGGTCCTGAAGGGGACCGGAAAGCTCTGCTTCTCAATATTTGCTGGACTCGGACTTAGCTTCAAGCTTCATCACCGAGGCTGCTGAGGATCGCTCCTTCATTTCCGGCGCAAGTGGTCCTGTGTCTGATCTCTGCTTCCGCAGAACGCAGTGACAGTGATCCTGGTTCGATATCTGATCGAGTACGCACCTCTGACTCTGCCTGTCCCTGTGATGCTACTGGTACTGTAGACCGGCGACATTTCTATTCTTGCTTGATATGATTGCTATATATGATATCTACCATGCCATCTTCTGCCCCTTTTTTGAATCCAGATGAGCGTCAGATACGATAACTCGTGATTCATTCCCAGGGTACGGAAGCACCAGGTACAATGGTCTATATAAAGTCTTCGGCTTGACTTTCATGATCCATGTATAATGACGATCGATCTAGTCCCTCTACCCCTCCCAGCGTCTGCAGATCCAGCAAAATTGGATGACTTTGGACGAGAAGTCAAAGGCCTCCACCCATCCCATCTTCAAGGAGCCTCATTCGAACAAGTCAAAAAGGCATTATACACGGTTCGTCCTGATTCCCGTGCTACAGCGTTCTTATCAAACATACACACAGCACGGAGCGCTCTTGTTTCGCGACGTCGACCTAACACCAGAGGAGATACGCGACTTGGTCAAGGTAAGAGCTCAGAAAACCCTTCCTGTCCGAGCCTTCCCTAAACGTCCACAAAAGGCCTTCGACCCCAACTCCACCGCTTACGGACATGGCAACAGCAAAGTCGACCAAACCAAAGCGTCCATCCTCCACTCGTACCTCAAAACGATTCCTCGCGTCCCACAGGTGCAGCTCATCGGGCACGGAACCGTCCGAGACCACGAAGGCATCCCCGAAGCCGTGCTACAACACGCGCACCATTCGAGCTTTCACAAGACGCGCGTATCCGATGAGGACGAGGCGCGAGGTGTAACGAGGTTCTTCCGTTGGCATATGGACGCGGCTTTGTACGATCTCGATCCACCAAAGGTGACGGCCCTATACGGGATTCGTGTGCCCAGAGGTCCTAACCAGGTGGTGAGGTATGATGATGGGAGCGGTGACGAGCTGGAGGTCCCGTTAGGAACTACGGTGTTCGTGTCGGGGAAGGCGATGTTCGATGTTCTTCCGCGGGAAATGAAGAGCGTTGCGGTGAGGGCGAAGGCTAAATATGCGCCGAAGCCTTTTGAGTGGATGAAGGAAGCGCGTGCGGTAGAGACGGGGCTGGGGTTAGAGTCGGAAGGCCGGGAAAAGGGTATGGAGGAGTTGGACTGGGACAAGGAGAAGATAAGGATTTATCCATTTGTGAGTTCGGACGAGCATAGTTTGCGCAAATGTTGCTAACTGCTTTACCAATAGCTGTGGAAAAATCCGGTGACGGGAGATCTACACCTCGAGGTTCATCCTTGTGCAATCATGGAGATCTATCTTGATCCAGTGCCTTCCGAGGCGAGACGAGAAGGCACGTTGTATCCAGATGGAGCGCATATAACAGATTTGAAGGAAGTGAGAAAACTCTGCTATGCGATGCAACGGCCTGGTATTGCCCCCAAGTTCGTCTATCCGCATGTCTGGTAAGCTTCCCGCTGAGTGCTTAACAGACTTAGAGTTGACTTTCTTCCCTCAGGCAAGAAAAAGACTTGATGCTCTTCCATAATCGCGGTGTCATGCATTCCGTGATTGGCGTCTTTGGACGAGATCAAGTACGCGTCTTCCACCAGTGCAACCTTGCTGCGTCGGACGCGCCAGATGGGCCAACCGATGAGGATATCATGAAGTGGGTGTGAATAGGTGAATCCTGGACGCATTTGCTCTCGCATGGTTTGGACATGGCACGTCTAATGAATTTACAGGCCTGCAAAATTACGTAGTACTGAGCAAGCCTTACGACGCGACACTGAGTCTAGGTTAGTTAGAGAGTATTCTTCCACGGGAGAAGGAATGCACTTTGGGCGACATGTAAATTAAGTATAGCCAAAGACATGCTGTGCCGTTCTCGGTATACTCTGGTGGAACAGGACCTGAGATGTTATGATAACGCAGGTAATGTGTGACGGATTCTTCAAGTCCAACCTGAGTTACGGAGCCTTAGGCTGAATATCAACGGAGACCACCGCAATTGCTTGCTTAGGGGCTTCTCGCCCAACAGGCCTGCTCTGGTTCCTTCGCTGGCATCTATCTTTCGACTTTAAGCATGTGGATCAGTTACTACTGTTTCTGGAGGTTTCGCAGTTCTGACGTGACGAGAATATGATGCAGCCGCCAACGTTAAAGAGCGCACATACTGTATGAACGGGATACGGATATTGAGCATTTGGAACAGGAATTCATGACGTTGAAGGATACTTAAAGAGTTTGATTTCATTTATCTTATAACTGCGGCAGAAGTTCGTGCGCGTAAATGCTAGGAATACGAATCGGCGTCTCACCGGCACCGCTCATTCAAAACCCGCGTTAATAAGTTCTAACACCTTTTCGCTTCTCGGTTTGATTGTGCATTTGAACGACGACGGATGGCTGAAGACAACATTTAGTAGTGCCGCTCAGGAGCCAGGAGTTTCTTACCTAACAGTCCCAGCGGTATGCTCCATGTCCGGCTCGAGCACAACCCCATTTTCAGAGTATTTCGATATGTTAAAAACCGCCAGGACCATAGCACATGAGATGAACAACGAGGAGTCCGCAAGCAGTCTTCCTGCATCTTATGTCAGTGCATATCTAGGCCAAAAACTCGATAAAGAATACCAGGGCAAATTCTGCGGACATTTCGAGTTTCGTCAGACGTTCCTGACCATACTACCCGAGAGATGTCGACTTACCGACGACCGAATCCGAACGCAACTTTATGGGGATCCATTTCAGGTTCTTTCCCTTTTGTTCGCATAAACCTTTCAGGCCTGAACTCGAATGGCTTTTCATAGACCGTAGGATCATGGAGCATGTTCCTGCGAACGGTAATCGTGAGTCAGAGCATCAATGGGTACAGATCTTCGTACCAGACGTTCGCTAACACAACAGATCCCTTTGGAATGAAATAGCCCAACTGGACGTCGTCCTCGCTCACAGAGTGGGGTAGAGCTTGATACCGGGATATCGTGAGTATCGGAAATGTTGCATACCCCATACTCACCTAATGGTCCGACGACGTGCCAACGACTGACCTCAAGCGCCAGGGCATTGATATATGGCAAACGCCCTCGGTCATCAAATCGTGGAAGTCTATCGTTCCCGACAATCGTATCGATCTCTGCTTGTGCTTTTGCTTGAATGTCGGGGTACATAATCATAGCTTTGAAGAACGCGGAGATGGCTGCAACGGTCTAACCAAGGATTAAATCAGACTTTTGAACACGCAGAGAGGATTGAACTTACCGTATCGCTTCCACCTGTCGCATGGAATGTGGTCAACACGGTGTGCATACAAATGATTGTCAGTGAATTGACCAATGTAAAGAGTTGCAGCAGCCCACTTAATATCAAATTCCTTGTCAATACTCATCCCATCTTCAAGCTGACTTGAAGTGAACGAATAACGAGCATCCCCAGCAGCCTACATAAGCATGTTATGGGCAAAGACCTTGAGATATAAACAGGTTTACAATTCGCTGTTTGACAAAGTCGTGCGGTCTTTCCACCACCTTGCATAGCGTCGATCGCCATTCCTTAGCTGTTCGCTTGAACTCTGCTCCAGGGAACCAATCCGGGATATGTCGCACTAAACGGCAGTTGGGGTTAGCAGTAAAGGTGATGTGTTACCTAGCTCACATATAGGAATAACATTGACCAAAAAGGCGCCCGGAGTGGTGGACAGAGCAAAGTGGTGCGTCGCTTGATCCGCGAGCTTGACAAATGGATCGTTTTCCTCTTGAATCTCATATCCATATGAAATTTGCATGATATTAGCCACATTCATCCTTGAAAGCGTTAGTACATGTTCAAGTTGGAATATAAAAAAAAACTGCTTACTTCCGAATATGTCGAAAGAGTTCTTCAGGATCAGCGGAGATTCTTTTCAAAAACTGATGCGCCTCCAATTCTACAACAGGCAGGAACTGCTTGAAGGACGCATTTGTTCCCAAGACCTGACGTACCCGTCGACGTGAGTCACAGAAACGGGGGCCATATGGCATCAGGCTAAACCCATTCTTCCAGCCGACGAGTTCCCCGCCCATGGCCACGATCGGTCTATCAGAGTAAATAGCGCCTTTCTTGTCCAGCATATCGATAGCCATCTGCACAGAGTTTATCACTACTATGCGCCGTCCAAGGACCGAAACCGATGCAACGTTGCCTTCGAAAAAGAAAGTGAGTAAGACTATAGTTATTGAATGGGGGCCAACTAGCCGCCGTACCATGTTTTTCGCCCCATCTAGCGAAGGTGAGCCATTCCTTATCAGAAGGCATGTCGAGAATGTTCCCAATAAGAGGAAATCCCTTGGGACCGGGAGGGAAAGGCGTGCTGCGGCGAGTCGGGTAAAAGAGGCGGTAAGCGACTACCAGACCGAAGAGCGAGATAGCAATAGCAAGGGCCGTCAAAGAGCTACTCATATCGAAAAATACATGATACTTGGGAGACGTCGCGTCCTTTTGAACCACTTGGCTGCCTATCCGGACGGAACCATCTACTGTCAACTGATACGACAACTTGTGGACTGATGATTGCACTGAATCTGAACTGACACAATGAGCACCGAGATGCCCACTGGCATTGCGAGAGGACGGATGGAACGGAGTGAGGATCCGAAGATTTAAATGACGGATCATAGCATCGCGGGATCCCTTTGCCGGCCTGTCAAAGGGCGGCAAAGGTGGAGATTGGTGTCCCGGAGCGAGGGCATCGGACCGCTATTCAGTAATTCTCTCAACTGTACGGCCAGTGGTGTCGAATATCAGATGCTTGGCACTCTCTCGTCAATCATCGAAGCCACGCTCGGGGACTTAGCTACGACGCTTCTTCTTTAGATTTGCGTGTGCAATTTGTCAATAATATATCCATCGCTTAGCCATGTCCTCGTTGAAGCGACAGTTACCGATTGTACAGGATTCGAAGTTGATGGCAGCAGGGATTCTGTTGACATTGCAACCTTCTGCCAACGATTCGACACGGACAGCGTGATAACTGAGGGCGGTAGAAAGAACAAGGCGTAATACCATATACGAGCATTTTCGCGAGCCCATCCATGTTTGCGCCCAAGCATCTCCTCCACTGTTCACACGAGCCAGCCCCTCCCTCTCGTCTTCCTCTACTATCGACGATCGTTCCATGTCTCCATTACAGCCAACCAACCCGGACACGGCCTCATCGGATTGTGTCAGCACCAGGCGACAGGGAAGAAGACGGCGATCTGGAGTCAGGAGGAAGGGATGACTTGCAGGCGTGTTTGAGGCTACTCTCGAAGCTTCTGTCATCTTGTTGGTATAAGGCAGATCGGACGCAGCCCTTGCGCGTGCATGCCCAACGTGGAACGTAAATTCTGTATTTCCTACGATATCGCATTAACTGTGCGCGAAGCCTTGAGTTTGAAGCTAGGCTACATACCTTTAGGTCGCGGATCGGAGCACTACAAGTAAACGCACCCCAGTCCGGTCAAAGCAGGTACGAATTGTTCGTTTCCCCGTGAAACCACCCTACAGCCTCCAAAGACGCCAAACGCCACGTCTACTAACAAAAATAAGATATCAAAATGTCACCAGCGACTCCAAATATCTTAATTATTTAAAATGGAAGGAAAGATGTGGCCTACCATGATGGCCGTAAAAATTGAACAACTGTTTCCTTTTTCTCTATGTTTGCTTTGCCAACAACCTGATTGGCTCTTGGAAAGATATTCAGTAAAATTATAGAGTCAGGAAACCTCATATGCCTCACCTAGACTCCTGTTCCAAACAACGTGAGTCGAGCGAAGTGCTAGAGTGCATAAGCAAAACTGAATTGTGAAGGGTCGAGACAAGGCTGCACATGTAAAATCAATCAAAAAAAAATCAATGACCTCGAAATGAGACCCGGACTTGCCTGTAATTACTCTGGAACTCCCCCGATGCCGACGTCGAACTCATGCACGGGGTAGGAAAGTTAGACCTGTGACCGATCCCCCTACAATGAGCAAGCGCCCTGCATCGAGCTTGCTCATTGTAGGGGATCGGTCACAGGTCTATAGGAAAGTCAAATGAAGATAAGCTAACCATGATTAATTCATGATTGCAGGATGACGGTCCGAAACCCGTAGTCGCAGACTTTGAGACGATATGGCTAAACCTGTCTTGTCGACCAACCTGAATTTTCCAGCGTCAATTTTTTTGCTGTCGACGCCGACAACCAACCCCGATCTCATAGACGAGGTCCAAGTTTCTTCGGTGCGTAGTTGATGTGGCTTCTTCGCGTTCTTGTCTGATACCTCAGTTAGATGCCCAGGACGCTGCGTTTAAAGACGGAAATCAAGTAGGGGCCTGTACCGAAGAATATTTTGGTGAGGCTGTCGCATGTTGCTCGTAGCTGAAGTGGCTGATCATGGGTTGACGTAGGACTTATTAATACCGCCGTTTGTAGCCACTTCACCTGTAACTGAAGATGCATCTATAGGCCTTGTCCAGCGAAAGAATCTAGACAGCATTCAGACAGAAACATAGATAGTTCACAGACACGTGGTGTTTGGAACATAGACAAACAATCAAGAGCATATTGGGACAACGATACAGAAATGCAAGGACTAATGCAACACGAATCTTCGTCATTTCATCATCGAGATTGTCAATACACAACACCTGTGAAGTCAGCCATGGTTAGTCCTTTTCGACATGCATAGACACGATTGACTGTACAGTGAAAACGGTTACGGAGCTTGGGTAGCCGAATCTATGATAATGATGGTTGTCCCTTTAACGACAGCTGCGGTAGGTGCTAGGGCCCTATTGTCCTGGGCAGGATCTTTCCACGGCATTGCGGCAGCATGAGCTACGGTCAAGCTGAGCGCGAGAGCGTGTGGCAAGAAGGCCTTAGAAGAAAAGAACATTTTTTAGGTTGGAGATTTATCGTTGGGATAGGTGGATCTGCCGTTTCGTTGTTTACCCTGTGGCTTTTAACGGGAACAATGCTGAGAAGGACCGCGGACGAAAAAAAAGTCCAAGGATTTGCATCAAGAGAGGTCATCTCGTAAACTGACCGCGAGACCTAGATACAGGCGGTCGTTATGTAAACGATACCGTTGAAGACTACAGCTGCTAATGACCGGGACTAAGTTAGTGCCTTTACATGAAAGATAGGAGATATTTACACACAAGGGACAAGGCTGCACGTAAGTGGAGAGGCTACGACTAATACTTCCCTGCTCTAATTCAAGGGCAGCATTCTTCAGGTAGAACCTGGATAATTCGACGCGGCACTGAGATGAGGGAAATAGGGTCGAGACCATCATTCCGCTTCAGCTGATTTTTTAGCACTACTCCAGATACATAAAATAGGTACGCACAGCCAAATGCAACGTAATGGCCGCTGCCATGTGAGCTTCTCGCTCTTCTTCACTGTTTAAACGTTTATCGCCTGTAATCCACCGCCAGCCACATTGGGCTATCAAATGTTGATACTGGGATCGTCTTCAACAATCCTGGGGTGGACAAAGAGTCGGACCGCATCTCTTATACTACGCGTTTCCTATCAGTCAGTTGTGGTCGTCTGAGACTAGGGGGATTAGGGGACGTAAGTTGGCTTGACTCCGAGGCCCTGATTCCTTTCCGGTACCTTGTCGCCGAGGAGCTAGGAAAGTAGAAGGGACTTCTATGTTCTTTGCGACGACATTTTGCATAAGATACCTGGTAGAAGAAAGGTAGATATTACTTATACAAGAAAACCAAGTTACTTGCCATGACGTTTGTTTTGTGGGATACAAAATTCAAATAACCACAGTCAAACACGTATGTATCCCAAAGAATCGCGCTGGAATCTAATAAAATTCAAGAAGATGACTGAAAGAATGGCTGTATATTCGTACCAAACTTGAACCTCAAGTCTCAGAACAACCACCGTCGAGTTCGGAAAGGCTGGTTCAGACAAACGACTTGCTCTAGACTCTATAAAACGTCAAAGAATTATCTTTCGTCCTGACGCCGTTCAATTGAGCCCATCAGTACCCACTGGCATCCGATGAGGCGGTGAAGATGGCTGCCGAGACTCATGGTTCAATGGAGTCAATCAGCAGCGACTGCCCTCCGAGTCCCGAGTCCTGAGTCCCGACTTCCTTCCTTCCTTCCGACTGATCTGTCAGCAGCTGGATACCGGCGTACAGTGGATGTACGTGCCTAGCTCTGCCAGTGTCAGCCTAATACTAAAAAGGCTACGATACCACCTAGTCAGTACTTACTACCTTCTAGTCCCAAATGAACAGCACGAAACATGCAACAATCGTAAGGCCCTAGCCTGTACTTTCAGGTCGTATTGGATCGTCCCTAACTGGACCTCTCTTTCGATGAGGTGGGGCAAGGCTTATCTTCCCGTGTTTCACTCTGACCAGGAGCTTCTTCTCAGCGTGCAGCCGATCAGCATCCTGGTTTTGCCTTACTGTATTCAACAAAATGGCACGGATCACGTCGCTCTTGATCAGATTCGAGCTATGCCTCTCTGGATGGAGACTCACGAATTCAAAGTGCAGGGCGTGTACAGCAGTGCCGAGGTGGTAGATAGGATTACATAGCGTGGTCTGATGGGTACTGTTGGCAGCCGACAGGTCATATGAAGCATACTGCAGCTTCGAGTTCTATGGAACGAATCGGATAGATGTGATGACCCGGTATGCTTCGTGCTAGACAACTATTCCGGCAGAGATTCATGCGAACCTCTCCTCGTTGATGAGTCCCAAGGCCTTTTCGCTCCTAGGCTTACCGGGTTTCTACAAAATAATGAAAATCGATCGAACTTTTTTTCGGCTGCCCAATATAGTAATTCATAGGTACCGGTTTTCTTTCAACAGCGACTCAACACCAAGAGCAACAGTAATGATAGAATAAATGGTTTAGAATTGATTCCCGAAGCAGTACACAATGTTTTGGTGCCATCAAGTCATGCAATGGAGCCTGCAGTGATGAAGAAAATACCGCTGATTTGGGATTTGACAGACCAGATTAGCGGATTCATGAGGATCACAAACCAAAGGCCCGGGTGGTGATATCAGAGCCTTTGATGGATAATTCGGAGGAATATAGCCCAGTTGTACGTCAGGAAGGTATAATTCGCAGTGCTTATGCATTTGGTGGAATCCAAGATGGGGAATTACTATATTGGGCAGCCGAAAAAAAGTTCGATCGATTCTCATTATTTTGTAGAAACCCGGTAATTGTACATTTGAATGGTGTCGGGTGGCTGAAGAAGATAGACTACAGGTTGAGAGATATCATCTGAACCCGGAGAAAATTAACGCACCTCACAGTCCCAGAAGTAGTTTCTGTATCTGGTTCGAAAACAATGCCACCTTCACGGTACTTCGAAATATTGAAGACCGCCAATACCATAGCACAGGATATGAAGATCGAGGCGTCGGCTAGAACCCTGCCTACATCTTGAATTTAGTACACATTGCGAGAAAAGGTCTGAGAGAGCGCACCGGGGCATATCCTGCATAGTTATAGCCCGTTAGGCTTGAAACTGGCAGTTCACACTTATCAAGGCGGAAGGACCCACCGACGACCGAATCCAAATGACACGTTATAGGGATCGAATTCCGGCTCTTTGTCTTCAGTTCGAATGAACCTTTCGGGCCTGAACTCAAACGGCTTATCGTAGACTGCGGGATCGTGAAGCATTTTCCTAGTGCTCATGAGACAAGGTCAGGAGATGGCATGATACGCATCTTCATACCATATGTTCGCCAATACAATAGAACCTTTCGGAATAAAATAACCGGAATGGACATCATCCTCAGTGACACAATGGGGGATACCTGGAGTTTGAAAGGTAAGCAATAAGTATTACAGATGAATCACTTGTTCCAAACCTGTTGGTGCGATGGTATGCCAACGAGAAACTTCGAGCACTAGAGCGTTGATATAAGGTAGGCGCTCTCGGTCATCGAAGCCAGGTAGCTTATCATTCCCGACGACTGCATCGATCTCTGCTTGTGCTTTTGCTTGGACTTCGGGAAACAAAAGCATAGCTTTAAAGAACGCGTAGATTGACGCGACGGTCTGAAACCTGATTCGGTCAGGCGGTCTGTGGGGGAAAGGAAACTCGTACAGTATCAGCTCCACCTGCGGAAACGGAAGATGAGTCATGGATAAATGCGATTCTTCGATTACCGACCGGCATAAAGAGATGCTGCGAGCCATTTAAGATCCACCTCTTCCTCGGCATTCACACCAGCATCAAGCTGCTTCGAAGTAAAGGAAATGCGAGCCTCCCTGATAGCCTGAAGGCACTGAGAATAACCATGGGTAGAGTGTTATATTCTCACCATTTTCTGCTTCACATAATCATAGGGTTTTTCCACCATATCGCTTAGTGTCGATGCCCAGCGTTTAGCGATCCGTTTAAATTCTGCGCCCGGAAACCAGTCTGGAATGTAGCGTACTACACGTACTGCAATTAGCGAATGTGAACAGGTCGAGGTCAAGTAACTTACAGGATGGAACAAGGTTGACCAAAAACCCGCCAGAAGCCACGGAAAGAGAGAACTGGTGCATTGCCTGTTCTGCCAGCTCCACAAACGGATCTTCGTCTTCTTGGATCTCGTATCCATAAGTAATCTGCAGGATGATAGCCCCTGCAGTTCTTGAGAGCATCAGCTATCAATGATACAGTTTAAAATCAACGTCGCCTACTTCCGAATGTGAGTAGATAGATCATCCGGTTTATCAAGCAGTCTCTTCAAAAACCTGTGCGTCTCGAGTTCCTCCATCGGCAGGAATTGCTTCATTGCTGCATTGTTTCCGAAGAGTTGATGTGCTCGCCGGCGATAGTTGCGAAAGCGCGCGCCATACGGCATGAGACCTAGGATTTTCTTCCATCCTACCAGTTCACCACCCATAGTGACGACCGGCCTGTCCGAAAAAATAGAGCTTTTCTTGTCCAACATGTCCATAGCCACTTGAGCCGAATTTACTATGACAATACGCTGTCCAAGGATGGAAACCGATGCGATGTCACCTTCAAACAAACTTCAGTGAAACTGCAAAGTTGATGGCGAAGACGTCTTACCATATTCCTTCGCCCATCGAGCGAAGGTAAACCATTCCTTCTCAGAGGGCATATCTACGAGGTTGCCAATGAGTGGTAGTCCCCTAGGACCAGGAGGGAGTGGTGCATTGCGGCGGCTACGGCGAAAGAGGCCCCAGACGAATATCAAAGCAAAGATAACAAGGAAAAAGTCCTGAGCGCTGAAGAAGCCGAACATTATTGGACTGCCTGGCTGACTCGAGAAGGAAGAGAGACCCTCGTATTGGCACAAAACTAAGGGGAATCCCTATTTATATTATCATCAATGCTGCGGTACACCGTTTTATAACCGAGAAATCATCAACCACCTGTAATGGAGTGCAAGCTCCCAAATTGTGCAGGTAAGAGTATTAAAATAGAGAACTCTGATCATAGTACAATTCCGTACATCATGCCGTGGTGTATAGGTGCGCTTCTCTGTCAGAACTGAATACCGATGAACAGCTGAGAAGTGATGGGTAGATGGCGAATTAAATATAAAGATGGCATACCACTCGAATCTGGACTAAATGCATGTCCACTGGCCAGTGCCACAGTTGCGGGACGAAATGAAAATGCGACCGAGTAGTCCGAACGGGGAAAGGACAAACTTTTAGCAGAGAGCAGAGGCACAGCCACAAATCTGTTCTTAAGTAACTTCGACGTGCACGACGAACGACGCGTTAATGCGAGTTCCTGCTGCTCCTCGGTGCCATTCCTACGAGTCAAAATATGCCTGTAATACAATCGAACGCTCCGTGTCGGTGAGCCCTTGCTCTATTGAGGATGCCGGAGTATCGACGATACTCCGAAAGCGCCTTAGGTTAGATTATGATCCTTCATAAACACTGTTTTTGGCGATAAGGGAATAACAGAACTGCATTCAATCTCGCGCTTCTGCACTGGATGGATATCTTTGCACGTCAGGTTATATTCGAGAGAAACCTGTCTTACGCTCCGCTGGGGGGAGGTTTAGTTTCTGTTCTGACCGATTGCCCTATGAAAACGGACTAGAGCTTGTGGACGGACCAACTGGCATGAACGGAAACAAGGAGACGATATACTTCTGACCCAAACTTGAAGGCCGATTTCGCTGATGGCGTTGTTAAGACGGGGCAGAATAAAAATTTATCTAAACAAATGGGCTAGAATCTTGCTGGCGACGAACCTTGGCTTTTCAGGAATCTTAGAGTGGAATTTCTCTCTACCAGATCATGTCTCGACGTTGCATGCATTCTAGCGTCACTACGGTATGCCGGATTAACCATTTTGGTTGGTACCCGTGGCACGTTAGGATCCACTGACTACGAGGAAGCAGTCGGGTTGGCATTTTCTGTCACGTAATTTGCCAATGCACACCGTACCGATGTCCGAATAGAGTCTTGGTCTCCGTCTCTTCAAGTCGTCTTCGGTGGATTAGTTGGATATTTCCGGGACATGACCATGGTTGCAGTCGGACTGCAGTTCTTGGCAGTGGAGCGCGGCAATAACTCTTACCAGAATAACGCCTGCAAGGCCCACATCAGGGGCAAAGCCTGCTACGTTGACCCCCCTTGAAACCTCGTTTTTTATATAATTATGATAGTTTATAATAAACCAAGCTTATGTATAATTGATTGATCCTGCGAGGTTTACTGGCTATAATTCCTGCAGGAGAGATTGAATCAAGGCCCAAGGGTTATTCAAATCTTGGCTTGCGGAAAAAAAACGAAGTCATAATCAATAATAGTTAGCATTCAAAAAATAGTAGTATGAATGAGAGAGTACTACCCCTTGAAATGATTCACTCAGCAGTGGTGGCTTCTGCTGCTGAGAGAAAAAGACTCGCTCGGTGGCGGCATTCTGCCGCCACCAGCTCGCATTTTCTCTCAGAGTCAGAATCCTTGGCAAGATCGGCCGAACAACGCCGCAGAAAGCGTGATAGTAACAGAGGGTCACATGTAAACAGTGACAAGCGGTGACTGTGCCACCCCGAAATTCTGACTTAAACGGAAATTTTGAAGCGTTGGGCCGTGAATTTCTTCCACAAGTAGAAATTTTTATGACATCGGACTTCGGGTTAAACTCAAAACTCGGCTACCACCATCCCTCTATAAGACCTACTACTAAAGTAGCAGGAATATCAAAATATCATTCTATCGGATGTATAGGTGGAAACGAGGCTACGACACTGACGGCGTCCGGACTCCTTCGTCTACAACATTCCAGGCTAGTAACTGAGTCTCTACCCTGGCATCTTCTATATCCCCGCGTACCATGGTTGGCGACGATTCTAGGCAGTCATTCTAACCACTGCCAGTGGACTCCACACAAACTCTTTCCCTCGAAAGATCAACCCACTGGAGCTCAAGTCTTTGACAGGTCTGCATGGATACAAACTTTCTACGACGAAGATGCTACCTTCCGGCACCGAACCGTGGAGAAATGTCTACCCAAGTCGCATAGAAACTGGCGGGGTTGTTATGCCTGTTCTTTACATTCGACGCGTTTATCCGAAGCCGCGCCTAAACTCTGCGCGCAGCTGAGAGTCTGGCAACGGTTATCATGGAATATGTATGATGGATTCCATATGGGCGAGGTCTCCTACCATCGTTTGGTAATTATTCCTTCCGGTCGAAGGTATAAGAGGAGGAGAAAATTACTTTCGCACCTCATCCAACATGTCCTTCGCCCGCCTCTCCGTCTTACTCTTCGCCTGTACCGTGGCTGTCCAAGCCGTGAGTGATTTCGTCTGTGCTGCCAGTCGTTTCGTTCGTGCCAGCTGACAGCATGTTTTAGAAAATCAGCACGCAAGTTGCTCGCGATGTACTCTTACTCTCGCTTTTAATAATGCATTGGCGGTGCTCATCATCAATGTTAGGACTCTAGTTGGACAGACGACGATGCATTCCAGTCAGCTATCCTCAACACTACCAACTCGTACAGAAGCGCACACGGTGCCGACTCGTTGACTTGGGACGACACCCTCGCTGCGTATGCACTGAACCATAGCCAGTCGTGCGTGTTTGAGCACAGTGTTCGTGATCCTCTTCATCCCCTTTTGTTGTCACTCGTCTTTATGGCTTATTTAATTTAGGGAGGGGACTACGGCGAGAACCTCGCTGCAGGATACGAGTCACCAGAGGCTTCAGTCGAGGCTTGGGGTGACGAAGGGGATTCCTATAGCTGCAGTGACCCAGGGTTCTCAGACGATACCGGTCACTTCACGCAGTTGGTGTGGAAGAGTACCACGACCGTTGGGTGTGCACGAGTTAACTGCGATGGAACCAATGATACACCGGGGTGGTCAGTTCAATCGCTTTTATCTAGAGCCGAAGACTAACTTTTGCTTTCGATAGGTATGTCACTTGTGAATACGACCCTGCTGGTAACATTGTTAGCGATGACAACCAGTACTTTATTGACAATGTCGAGTGCTGAGGGGATCATCGACATCTTTCCTCCTTTAAATGCAATAGATCTGTTTTGGTATCTCGAATCCAAAAATTGATACATTCATCTCTACGTTTCCTCGTCTTTTCCACCATCTAGATGAACTGATATGAGCTATGTTGCCTTTCCGTCCGGAGGTGTGGTGACGACCGCTTGCATTGCATTTACAGCTCTTATGTCTGCTGGCATATATTGTTCGCAGGAGTTGCACTGATGCTGATTCTGCTTGATGTCAACAATGAATGGACTCATCCTCAATATCTTGTTAGGATTTATGCCATTGCAGGAGCCGATCTGCGTCTCTCGAATGGAAGGCGAGGTCGGACAGAGAAACTCACATACTGAATACCAGATACGTGCCCAGATTACCGGTCGTTGGACTTGGTACTTTACCAACATATTCAGGAAGTGACTCTGCAGATGAGTTCAACGGAAGCCGCTTTCAAGCTCTTGATTTCGAACATTATTACCGAGTTCCCAGACTCTGTTGTTTTCTGGCCTTGTAACTATATGAGTATAGCCGATGTGAAGAAGGCTGGGATCTTAGGAATCTTAGCACCTGCTTTCTTCGAGCGTACAGTAAATGCTAGCATGATCTTGTGTTCAGAAGATTCGAGAGCTTCTTGTCTATTGTCTGCGGCAGGTCAGCGCTTGAGATGCAGCATCTAAGTACAGACCCAAGAAATCTTATTCCTGCAGCGAGACACGAGCCTCCCCTGGTAAGGTTATTAGCTTTGGAAGAAACCTGCTAAAGTCCACCATACGCCCTCCGTCATGGCAACCAATGATATCTATGTTTCAACGTGTCGACGGTATCGTGTATTCTATGAAATGTCTGCAATGGTACATAGTAAGTTATCAAGGACGTCTAAAAGGATAACGAAATAGAAAAAAAAGGTACAGCGCATATAATCACGGTACAAGAGCCTCTTCGTCCCAAGAACCCTTATCGTTCCTCCAAAACCTTGTCCTGCGATCTGGCACAGGTCCCAGCTCGAGATAGTCAACGTCCGTCGGGTCGACCACCAGCAAGGCGAAATGGCTTAACGCTGTCTCCCAAAGGCGCTTGTTCTCTTCACTGCTCCACTCTCCTTCGGCATTAGGCTCCTCCAACTTGAGAGGCCATTTCTTCGCCTCTTCTTCTCCGCCTACAAGCGGTGAACCAGGGGTAGGCCGGCACCACGATGCTTTCATGTAGGGACTCATGCTTTTGAAGACTTCCTGCCTCTTCGCTTCCCAGTCAAAGCCTTCTTTGAAGAGTATTCCCATGGAGCCGTTGCTGTTTCCAGCTTGCGTAGAGTGGAGGAAGTGCTTGTACAAGCTGTTGGTCGGGGCAGGGATAATGGTCGCGAGACCTGCGACGCGATACTGCTCTTTCGCGCCCTCGATCCACCATGCGAGCTGGACGTGAGGATTCGAGATTATTTGCGAGGTTTTGGGCGTGCGGCTGTCGGTTGTGAAGAGTAAGAGAGGGAGTTCTGGGTTCGTGGTGGGGTTGATGAAACCTCGGAAAATGAGGGAACGGACATGGGGTATCGGTGTCGTAGGGTCGATGGAGGCCAGCTGAGTGACTGCTTGGGGTTAGCATGAAGAGAATGTTGAGAAAGGCGACGCCGCACCAATTGATTTCTCGTTCGCTGCTAAGGCGTTTTCGATGGCCCGTTTCCATCGAGGACCTGGAGCCATACTGCGAAGAATGGAAGAAATACGGCAGAAAACAGTGATTCGAAGGACCGTGAATACAGAGGGATTTACTGTACAAGCATAGTACAACTTTTTACACACATGGTAGTCGTCGTGATAGAAGTGTAGTTGACAGGCGTTCGACAGCCGACGCGATGCTTACCACTCTTGGTCAGCGACCACCACCACCACAATGTTACGATGCTTGCTCTTGCTCTACCTCTCTATTCTCGCCGTTGCCAATACTGAGATAGCCAATTTCTATGCGAGTTCAGCCGTGCAGGCGCCGATAGTTGTTGGCACGGAGTGGTGAGCTGATGCAGCAGCAAGTCGCACGCATATACTCACTCTATCATACCCAGGGCGGCCCTCAGTGCCAGCGACAGCCAAAGGCAATACGAGATTGTACCAGCGCCATTGGGAACGCCTCTAACGGCCGTGTGCCCAAACTCGCCTTGCCCACACGAACTCTGGCTCAAGCTGGACCTATCGAATGACGACTGGCAGCGATTCACGAAATTCACGTTACGAATATCCTGGGCAGCATACGTGCGTAGCACCAAAATCCTTCAGCTTGGCGATGTTAAGAAGACATGGACAGGATCCAACCGATTTTCTCATTGATATCCTTGACGGGGACTCCATCACCAGCGCCAAGTCTTCCGACCCACCGGCGCGTCTTAAATACGCTCGAATACGCCTCGTCGATACTGGCGTACTTACACCGGGCATGTCTGTCGACAGGCCTACTGCTGTACCATTCACAGTGGTCCTCGAACCGCTGTACTTCGGAGTCCTTCCGGCGTCTGTCATACCTACCCTATACTTCTTGATCGCAGTCGTGCTGCTGGCGGCTGTGGCTCTACCCTGGATCAATGCTTATCTAGAAGATGTCGCTCTGAAAGCTAGGAGGGAGATACGTCTCGCTGCCATGGGCATAAAACAGCGATGAAGGTGGGTATTACTCTGATTATTTTCGCTTCGCGGTTGACGCGACGCTTCTGCAGGTCATATGTTATATTTCTTAACATCTACTTAGCTCTGTTTTCCTGTATTATAGTCAACTCTGCCGCAAGATACCACGTTCGGAATTGTAAACAAGCTATCCAAAGAAGCCACGCTCAAATATTCTCAACCGATCCGTACGTGTATTATCTTGCGAGCTTTTGGTAAGGGTATCACACTAAGAACCACGCTTTTGAATGGAAAAAGTCTTGCGTAAAGTGGGATGGTGTCATGGAAGCAGTCTCCGTTCGGCTAGTCCTGCGAAGTACTACCTTCTTCGTCCTCTTCCTCATCAGCAGGGCCAGGCTCCTGCAATACTTAGTCACGCTTAATACAGAAGCGGCGCCACTTACTGCAATCATTAACGCCGTTAAGTTGGGGCCTTCTTTTTGGTCACCATCGTCGTCCTAAGCCTACGTTCACGTCAAACGCGTCAACCAGGGAGAGTAATTGCTCACTTCAGATTCATCGCTGCTTCCCTCCCCATCCGAGCTGGAAAATGACGAAAGGGAACTCCCGTCGGAGGTGGTGGGCACAGTGTCCCTATCAGAGAATTCATAATCCGAGTCTTCTTCAGAGTCCTCGTCTGGATAGTCATCCGGCTAGGAGACATTTAGTGAAAGATAGACATAAGCTGTAGGGAGGGCACGCACGTTCTTCAACAGCAGCAAAGTCAAATTTCCCTAGTCGTTGATAGTCAATAGTAAAATATCGCGATGTGTTTAGATACTCACTCGCTCGTCGCCATCTGCATCTTGGTCGTCCTGAAAATTCGCGCGTCACCCGACTTTCCGGCGCGTAAAGTAGTTTCGGCTGACCTCAGACGACTCCGAACTTGATAATGAAGAGTCGTCCTCCGAATCAAATGATTCATTACCGCCATCCGAAGGCACGCCACTCTTGTGGATGGCCGTGTCGAGTTTCTTTTTGTCCTGACCCAATTGCTGGGTGGCCTCTTGACCCGAAGTCGATGGAACAGACATGGTGGTGATACAAGTGAGGAAATATTCGTGGGTTGTCGTCCTAGTATTGGAACAAATCGAAGGTGGAGAGGAGTTGGTGGTTCGGTTATTACACGCGAGGAATGGTCGTGGGAAAGCGGAGATTTTTTGTCTTATCTTATCTACAAGTGAGTCAGCATGATTACAAGCCACCCTATAGCCCTTAACCCATCGATTTAATCGATTATTCTTCCTTCTTTCCGTCCTCCCTCTTGCCTGCACCGAAAATTTCTGTTCCTTACTTGTGTGGACAAAGCGGCATCTTTTTTTCTGTCGCTACTCGACTAAGTATTGGACCTTTTGTTATGGGGAGTCATTGACATCAATCAACCCCGCCCGGGCCCCGCGAGGTTCTCCTCAACAATTCTTCAAGGATAACTTCACTTGGTCTTTATGATGCCAAGATCTACTTTCAATGACCCTAGAATGCTTGACCGATAACAAAGATACATTGTACATCTTACAACACAGAGAACAACGGTATTTAGTAATAAATCAGCACATTCTAACAATTCTTGACTTCCTTCCAGCTCCCATTCAAGCTTTAACTTTCTTCGCCCCAACATCTTCGCCTTCGTGTGCCTCGACTTCATCTATAGCCCTCTTCTTAGCGGCAGCAGCCGGTGCAGGGACCTCGGCGTACTCCTCGTCTTCGTCTGCTTCATCAGCTTCCTCTTCCTCGGCGGCAGCTTCACCGTTTGGCTGTGAACATCACGTTGGATTGGATGGGAAACAAAACAAATCAGCGCACGTTTTCCAGTAGAAGTGCTGTCAAGCTGGATTTCTACAAGAGGAGTGCGCGCGTCAGTAAAGCCCCTCGTTGAGCTGGCGCAAGGACGTACCCCGGCGCCGTTCTGTTCCTCTTCTTCATCTTCCTCTTCGTAATCGTCATCGTCGTCGTCCTGCTGTACGGGATATCAGCGCGATGCACGGCACCACGGCTCCGATGACGGTACCTCCACCTCATACTCGTCACTCTCCTCCTCCTCGTCAAAGATGACTGGGGGGTCGTTTTCAGTGACAACTTCAGGCTCTCCCTCCTCGGTAGGCTCTACTGTGGGCTTTTCCGACATCGTGGGTGTGGTGGTGGTTTCTGTTTAGGTCTGGTTCCCAAGCGCGGCGCGGGAGTTGGGGGTCACCGTCACGGTGTGAATTCAACGGCTCAAAGTCACGTGGTCGGATATCGGCTTGACGGAGGGAAAGATGCTGCTTGGGGAATGTATACGGTCCGAGGCGCCGTTTGCCGTTTTCTGTGGGGAACTTGGCGGGTTACCCAGGTCTGTCTTTCACTGGGACCATGCCTTCCTTTTCTGTGGCTGACTACTCAGTTTCAAGGAACTGGTAACCATTACTTTTGACGAATGGCCCTTCTCGATATGGCGTTTAATTGTGTGTGGACGAATTTAACATCGAATATCGCAAATTCAAACCCAAATAACGGGGTGTAAGGCAAAGGTCATAGTATGTAATCAGCCCAGTAGCTATTAAAATCTTGGTTCTTCCACGCGGCTGTTTCATCCGTTTCGATTTCATCTATCCTTCTTTCTTGGGATTAGGGCCGAGGATTCAGGGTAATAGTATCTCCCATCTGTTTCCGACACGGCAGGTAGGCTATGTTCGATGTCGCAATCAGTACGCTTAGGGAACAGGAAGCACACTACAGTTTTCAAAGGAGTATCGTTTTAAAGACTACTACGGGCACGTTAATGCGGTTACATTAAGGTCGAGTTAGAAGGCCCTTAACAATGGAACTTCTTCATTCATCCTATGAGTCCGTCAATCTCCGCTATGTCGTGGTCTTTCGCGTCAAACGTCCTCCCCCTTCTTACAATATCTCACACAATCAGATTCGAGGGCTATTTATACAAGGAAGTTTGTTTCACAACGCACGCTTTAGTCAGACTCCTCGGCCTCATCGCTCTCTTCGTCATCTTTATAGACCATCTCGTCAGCATGGATGACTTGCCCGTCCAGTTTACCAATCAGCTCGTCTTCTGCTTGCGTTTGTTCGGTCATCGTTGTGGCTTTGGTTCAAACAGAAGCACGTGTGCGCGTGTGAAATGACATGGTCGTAATTATTGTCATATGAACATGCCTGATCTAGGCGCGCTGGGATGAAACTGGCTTTTGGAGGGATTTTGTTGGAATTTCATTGACCATTAAGGAAGAAACGACCTTGGAGAGGAACACGGCACGGCCGCCCAGGAACCCCGATCACCCAAATTTTGGGCGTTTTCTGATTTCCAAGACGACATACGACCGAAGCATAGCGAAAGCGAAAAGCGGCACCATTATGGTCTCGATGCCTGTATTGTGACAGTCGGGCCCGCTCTTCTTGGTGTAGCGGAAGTACTGTCAGTTGGTCCAAAACGATATGCACTCTCCATTCTGTTCGT